TTAGTATCTTGGAAGTTTCATGATCATCAATAAGTTCCTCCCTTGTCTAAAAAGCTACATTCTTAATAATATTAAAATTTTCAAAATTTTTAATACTCAAAAAATTGATTGATATTTTTTCATTCTCAAAATTAAATAATACTCACCCAAGATATTAATAATATTAAAATATTTCCATAAATTTCTAATTATCTTTTTATTTAATTGTATTTTAAAAAAAATTCTTAAACTAATTATTTTTTAATTTAGTTTTACCTAACAAAACTCTCCCATAAAATTAAATATTTCTATAACAAAATTGAGGTCGGCATAATCGATCTCTATCCTTCCCATTTATCGTTTTTAAAACTTTTCAAACTCCCAATTTAGTCGACTTGTCATTTTGTCAAACATTTGAGTTCATAAGCACCCAAATTCCTTCCATTCGTCATCCCGATTAGTCTCTTGCAATACTCGAATATCATAGTAGGTAGTGGTTTTGTGAAAATATCAACAACTTAATCTTGGCTCGCCACATGTACGAGTTCCACATTCACATCCTTCTCATGTTCTTAGATGAAGTAAAAACGCGTATCAATATATTTGATCCTCTCATGATTGATCGAATTCTTCGTCAGTTCAATTATCGACTTGGATTATGGTTGCACCAAGTTATGTCTCCTCCATCGAGCTTTGTAAATGTCTAAGTCACATTGCATGGCACACACTCCATGATACTACTAGGTACTCAGCTTTACAGGTTCACAATGTTACTATGGGTTGTTTTTTCAAAAGTCAAGTAAACGTTGTGTTACTCATGAAGAATATATATCCCGGTATACTTTTTCGATCATCCACATCTTCACACCAATTATTGTCCGAGTACCCGATGAGTCGATAATTATCCGACTTTGTGTACAATAGTCCGAGTGACAGGGTATCTCGAATATACCTCAATATTCATTTCAATGTCTTCCAATACAAGTAGCTCGAATTTTTCATAAATTGACTGACAATTCCAATACTTAACAACAAATTGAATCTGGTACTTGTGAGGTAACGAAGACCAACTAGGCTCTTAAATCTGTTCGGATCAACTTAGTCTCCTCCATCAAATTTTGAAAGTTTCATCCCTAGTTCCATAGGGGTTGAGACCGAATTACAATCAGTCATCTTAAACTTGTTTAGAATCTCCTTTACATACGTCTCTTGGGACACAAATATCCTCCACTCCTCCTATATTACTTTCAAGTTAAGAAAAAAACTTTATCATGCCAAGATCGGTAAATTCAATTGCTATTATGCGTTTGAATTCTTGAATCATTCCAGGATTATTTCCCATAAAAATGAGATCATCGACATATATTGCAACAAACATCATATTATCTCTATTCTTCTTCACATACATAACATGCTCATATGGACATTGTATAAACTTGTTCTCTTTGAAGTAGATGTCAATCTGATCGTTTCATGCTCGAGGAACTTACCGAAAGAGTCATCTTCAGTCTCAATATATTTTCTCCTTATCTTTCTTCACATATCCAAGTGGTTACTCAACATACACCTCCTTCTTGAGCACATCATTCAAAAATGTTGACCTGACATTCATATGTATGATCGACCAATAAGATTAACAATCAAACAATCTTCATCCTTGCTATCAGGGCAAACATCTCATCATAGTTAACCCCTTCTTTCTGCTCGTAACTCTTTGTAACCATCCGAGCTTTGTACCTCATTACATCTCCCTATGTATTCAGTTTCTTCTTGAACACCTATTTCAAGCCAATCAGTCGAACATTGTTTGGTAGCTCGATTATTGTCCAAATTCAATTCTGATCAATAGGACAGATCTCATTATCCATGGCAGTTTGCCATTTCTTATCACACATGACCTCCTCAAATATGATGTCCTCGGAATTTGCAAAAGACAAACAATGTGAACCTCATTAGTTGAATTACGTAAGTCTTGCAAATCCGCATTTTGGGTCATGGTGCAGCAACTCGACTTCCTCTATTTTTCTTTGATTTTTCCTAGTTCCATTCACTTGCTTCATCAAATCAAACATCACAATTTATAACTACCCTCCTATTGATAGGATCTAACAACTTATAATCTTTCGATGTTTCATCATAACTAATTAACACACACTTCTTACTCTTGTCTTCAAACTTAGTCCGTTATTGAGACGTGACTACTCCATAGGCTAAAACACTCTAACATGAGACACAATTGGTTTTTTATCACTCCATACCTTTTGTGATGTTACATCATCTAATTTTGTATGTGGACACCTATTCTACACATTGATGGTACATTGCAACACTTTTGTCCAAAACTCCTTTGACATATGTTTGACCTTCAGCCTAGCTCGAACCATATTAAGAACAATTTGGTTTTTTCTCCCAGTCACACTATTTTGTTATGGTGAGTATGAAGCTGCTAGATATCTCCTTATTCTTTTATCTTCACAGTATTTTATGAGAGCTATTGACATAAATTCTCCTCCTTTACCAGATCGAACTAATCTAATATGCTTGAGTCGAAATGTTCATTCGCTTGGAATTCGAACTCCTTGAAAAAGGAGTTGTCGCCAGCTTTCCGAGAACACAATCTTTGTAGAATCTTCTTTCATTCTCCAAGCTCGGCAGTCCAAGCACCATACTTTTATTTGACAGCTCGACTAACCCTCCAAAACTCAAGTGGCCAAATTGATGATGCCAAATCAATATTGTGTCCTCCACATTAAGTTTCAAACTCTTCTCCCGAATACTCTTTAACTGCAACTTGCACATTCTATTCCTCTCCATATCAACCCGAACAATCAGTCTTTTGAGTTTGTCCTTCAAATGTAGTACCCAGTCTTTCATGAAAATCGAGTATCCTTTCTTCATCAATTGTCTCATACTCAAAATATTGCTTTTAAGATCAGGAACAAAATACACATCTCGGATCGTCCCAACCAGTCCATCCTTCTGCAAATAGCATATCGTTCCTAGGCATTTTACCGAGACTCTCGAAGCATCTCAAAACTACACACTACCAACATTTGTCTTCTTTATCTCTTTAAAAAGATGTTTGTCGTCAAACATATGATTACTCACTCCTGTATCTAGGAATTAAATCGAGTTGTTTAAGTGATAGTTCACTCCCAAGTGTATTGTCGTACTATGATCGACATATGCTTCTTTATGTATTGACGAATTGTGATAGACCATCATGAACATAATTCGAATTGTTTTGTTTCAAAACAAAGAGATCTACAGATAAATTTATCCTATTCAAATATTCACAACTAATAGTATCAAATTTTTTTATTTTATTTTTGGATAGACCTTAAAAGGAAAAAAAAGGTTGGAATGCCATTAAGGATTTATATTTTGAATTCATTGACCGGAACATACATTATTTATTTTGGGAATGTCCAATGTCAAAGTCATTAAATGGGTAAGTATCCATCTCTAAAATGAATTATTTAATATACTTTATTTACTCTTACACGATGGAACATATAATACCATACAGGAGATAAATCTTCTAAAGAATTTTGAATAAGCCAATTTATTTGGGACCTACGAATCCACCTTTTTTTTCTATTCATAGATCAGTTTTTTATATTTGTATTTTCACATCGACCATTTTTTATAGATGAAGAGATTTGAAGGAACTTAATGGTTATTCGGTTTCTTCTCTGATATTGGTCACACCCACTTTTGACATTATAGTTAGCAAAATATTTGTAGAATCTCGTTAAGCCAATCACCAACTCCTTACATTCAAAGAGATGCGATTGCAGTAAAAATACTAGGAAAACAGTACCGAGCCAGTTTAGAGACCTGCAAAAACCATCTCCATGATAAAATTATGCTATCTAAAGGAAGAAATGTTATTCCCATCAATTGTTCAAGGTAGAGAAATTTGTTGAAATCTCTTCACCATTGCTAAGAAAAACTCCTTTGAAGACGAAGGAGTACTATGAAAAATTCTCTTCGTAATTAATATTGAGAAACTTTTGAAAAGCTTTTTAGCCTGGTTCAAGATTGAGACGTTGGTGGTGCTCTTGTCATCAAATATTGTTCATTATTTTTCCCTCTTCTTCCTTATTCTTTGGGGTCTTTCTCAAACATCTCTTCTTCCTTATTCTCTTTGAGGGTCTTTCTCAAACATCACCCAAAAATCGAAGCTTGTAACACTCAAATCAAATAGCCAACAAACAAGGAGAAGGAGAAAGTAGAAAAAAAAACATATATCATTAATTTTGATTGAAATGGAGAAACAACAATAAACAACACAAATTAATAAAATAAAATGAACAATAGCTAGAAGGATATATGGAATGGAGGGGGAAGAGGAGGACGAAGGAAAAAAAAGTTCAATATATAAAAAATTGCCTCCAACGTGGAGCATATATATGGAGAAGGAAAGAAGAACAAAACAACAACAACGCGTCGCTCGGTTATAGACTCTTAAAATATTATATTTTAATTTTCAATATAAACTACATAATTCTTAGATATTTTAGTAACTTTTGATGAATGAAATAGAAATAATAGTAGAGTATCATATTAAAAAGTTAAAAACAATATTAACATAAACAACAATATTGATTACATTTTTAATTTACTTATACATAATAAGTTTCTCCGAAATAATTTATAAGCAAAAAAATAATATTTTTTAACTTAAAAAAAATAAAAACTATAATGAATAACTTTAATTTATATTTAAACCAATTTCAACTTACGCATTTTTTTTTCATTTATTCCTTTTAAATGTTTATAAAGAAAGGAAAACATCCTGGAAACATCTTCTATCACAGAAGTAATCAAACATATTATTATTGCATTGGTATCTTATCTACTCATTAAACACAGAAATATTGATAAACTTCTCCAACAGTAAAATGTATTTTAGTACAAAATCACAGGTATCCTAGAAGAGATAATCCTGATCATGCTGGATATGATTGATATGGATCACAAAGCTAGTACAAAACCTCATATTTGAATTTAAATAGCTACCCGAGACGCAATAATTCGGAGGATCGCTCATCAACATTATTATCCAACATCAAACCAGAGCATTGAACCGGTGATTTTCTGGAGGATCTATTCGAACTGTTTTTAATGAGGCTCGGTGGTGTCAAAGTGAAACCCCATTGATCCTCACCGTTGAACCTCTCGTACTGCACACACCCTCTCCCACGTCCACTCCCCACGCTTCTCGTCCTGTACCCCCACGTGCCACTGCTCATCATCGTAAAGCATGCATAACTATTCGCACGCTTAAGCCTCGAGTTCACCATCTGGCTTCGTACCTCCTCAGGTAACCTTAACGTAAACCTCTCATAGTTCTCCCCTTGCTGCGCCAATTGCCCCGTTGAGTTCGATCGCGGAAACAAGAGAGTGGATAAGAACCCCGTGGATTTTGACCGTGATGGACGACTCTGATGCAACGTGTGTATCCTCCGAAGCAAATCCACCTTGGGTGATTCCACGTCGGCATGCTCTCTTTTCTGTTCCTCACTAATAACACTCTCGTGTTCATGTTCAGCACTTTCGTCTTCATGCTCATGTTCATCGGGTACCTGAATTGACAACATAGGTAGCATGTTCGTGCTCATGTTTATGTCTTCAGGTTGAGGAACGAGGTTGGCACGACACACAGGACAAGTGGAGTGAGAAGTTAACCAGACATCGATGCAATCAGGGTGGTAGACGTGGCAACATTTGGGGATCATGCGAAGGGTTTCATCGTCTTGAAACTCGTTCAAGCACACAGCGCATGCCAACGTGTCTTTCCCGATTTTGAAACCCTTCACGTCGGAGTAGAGGAATGTGGGGAAGGTTTCTATGGTGGCTTGGTTGAGACCGTTGGACTCGCTTTGCGATGACGGGTTACCGATTGCGCCGGTTGGTGGGGCGCGGTCGAGAATGCCACGTGTCTGGGCTTGTCTGTCGGAGCATTTGCGAGAGTAGAGGGAGAGTAAGGCTGAGATGAGGAACATTATGGCGATGATGGCCATGATGGTGACCACGGATTTGTTGTTGTCGGGTTCTATTGCTGGGGTTACCTGTTGACCAGTTACAGGCGGTGACATGTGAATGAGAAGGTGCAACAGAGCGAGCCATGCATGGCCTTGGTCGAAACTGTGGAGTCTAACGAGAGGACTCTCCTTTTGCATGCTCATTCTTTTTTTATATATGTATCATATGCTTATATGCATGTAATAATATAATAACTCGTTAGTTCCTTGATATTAAAAGATAAACACTTGCAGTAACACCAAAGACTGATTCTGTGACACTACAAATGGTAATTTGTTTTTGTCTTGATCTCTTAATCTCTTTGAGTAATCGTCGAGACAGAAAGAAAAAAGGAAGGAAAGAAATGTGCAACAGAAATGTATGGATATATTATAATTGTATTTGTGTGTTTACTTGGTGGTTTGAGTAGAAAATGTGGGTTTTGCCCAACGAATTATGAAAAGCGTGTAAATTTAGAAGATGTATATTTTTTGAAGTGAAAATTCCTGGTGAGTTTGGAAAGCCAAGGGGATTTGGCTCCTCTGTGTTGTGCATGGCCAAGGGATAACAATGTTACTTGTTGGGGTATGGTCAAATATTAGTGGTATTTAGTTAACGGAAAGGGCAAGCATAGAACACGCCAAAAATTGTAAAATATGTTTTACGGGTTTGGTCAATTTAATGTAATAAATATGTACATGGATAAGCATAAAATTTCATATAAAACATAAAAAGAAAAATTTTATTATATTAATAGATTCTTAAAAATTTTATAGGATAATATTTTTAAATTGATCAATTAAGTATCCTTTTTCAAAAACCAAAAATAATATATATATATATATATATATATATATATATATATATATATATATATATATATATATAATAAAGAGACCAAGGCCTCCCACACTACCTCTAATTTTTTTTATTTTCAAATCTATATATATATATATATATATATATATATATATATATATATATAATTAAGAGAAGTTATTAAAAGAAAAATATTAAGATATTTCTATTTTAAAATTAAATAATAATATTTAATATTATTTTTCTATTATTATTCATAATTTCTATTATAAAAAGATATAAATAATTATATTTACAAAAATTTATTAGTCCTCCTTTCATGTTCACCTAATTTTACATGATTTTTAATTATATGTTGTCAATTAAAATTTATAAAAGTCCTAAGTTAAATTATAAACACTGTATAAGGTTTGAGATACACTGACGACTTTTTTTCTCTCTTAATTTTCTATATTTCCTTTCCTCCTATCTTTGTTGTGTGGGCATTGTTTAAGATTCTAATTAAATTGTTTTTTAGCTAAGAGCATAGATTCCGATAAGTTGAAATTAAACTTAAAGAAGAATGAATTGTATATTGATTTTTCTTGGTGTAACGATCTTATCAATCCCTTTTAAAATAATATGCAATATATGACAATATTTTGTACATTTCTAATATATTTATATCTCAAAATAATATTATAAAAGAGAAATACATTAAAGATAAAAAAAAAAAAAAGATATACGCTAAAGACAAAAATTCCTAAAACTACTCTTGCAAGTTGCAATCGAGTATGCTCTTATATAATAATTATCATCACAGTTTGAGAATACAATAGATAATAAAAATAAAAATAAAAAATATTAAAAACTAATTAATATATTTATAATTTAAAACTTTTTTTTTCATCATATCACCTCATATTATTTAACTTTTACCATTTACATTAAACTATATATCTTCAAAAGAATCATATATTAGGCTCTAAATTCCGAAATTCATATTAATACATTGATCAATAATACTATAATTATAATCATAATATTATTCTAGTTAGACCAATCTATATTTAAGAATGGTCATATTTTTACTCCTATAATTCGATTTTACCTACATTTGGCTAATTAAAAAGCAGGTTATTTTGGTAATTTAAAAAATATATTTTAAAATAAAAAATTAAGATTAAAATATACATATAAATTTATTATAAAATTAGTTTTAATTTAAACATAATAATTCATATATATTAATTTTGTTTTAAAAATAAATATATTAATCATTTTATAACGGATCTTATAAATTTAGATCGATACAAATTACTTTACGGACTAAACATAATAAAATAAATATCAATTTAATTTAATTTATAAATTTTTTTCTTAATTTTATCAAATTTTTAATCAGTTAGACTGATCTTGATAATTTTCTGAATAAGGTATAATTTTTAATAACCTTACTTTGATTATGATGCATACAATATTTTCAATGATTTTGATACCTTCAAAATACATAATTTAAATTATTTATGAAACATGAACATGTGATTAATTTTGTCAACTTAACATCAATATTAAGTTTAATGTCAAAAGTTTAATGCATTGCTTATTCAATATAACTCACACATGAAAGACAATAAAACAGTGATATCCAAAATATCATATAAATTATTCTCTATTACAATCAATTCAATGACCTAATAACACCAATTTCAAGATTTCTCAATATAATCCAAATGAAAAATATATATATTATTGAATATTAATTTCTGTTACTTCAACTATTTTTGTTTCAAATGATTCTCCACAATAAGATAAATATATCCCTAATGTATCCTTGATTTCTAATTTTTTTTTCTTCAAAATTTCAACATTTCAAAGATGATTTAGTTATAATCATCGATTTCTCCCCTTTTTTTTTTACTATAGATATTACTAGGAATCAACAGAAGAAGAAACAAGTTTATCTAAATCACAGCTCCAATCAGTTGTATTTATTCTTCACCCTACACCCTATACCAGCTTCAATCTACCACTCCCCAATCTTCATTTCAACACTATCTTCATACAAAAATATTAGAAAATATAGAGAATATAGTAAATTAGAAAGATAGAAATTTAGAATTATGAAAAAAAAAATGTTAGTCTATTTCATTATTTTGTTATTAAAATATTTAAAATTTATTTTTTAACATCATCAAAATTTAACTTCTTATTTAATAAATAAGGATGACTCTCATATATTATGTTAACTGTCAAATGAAATTATTACATCTAATATTTTATGTCATTTTCATCATATTAATGGTTTCATAATTATATTTCAATATGATATACATATTAATTGATTAGATACAACTAATTCATAAGTCATTAGATTCATTAGATTGAATGAAGGAAATAACTTATTAGATTAGATGTTGATCAAACAACACAATAATTTTAATCTTCATGCATATATGATCTTCCACAACAATTTTAAAATCAACTTATTAAATTATATTTTTAATGAAAGCAAAACAAATTAAAAAAATATTTTTAAATAAATAATAAATTTTATTATTTTAAATTAATTATTAAAATATTTTACTATATATTTTCTTCTATTTAAATGTATTTTTTGCTATTCTCTGATATTTATGAATAATCAAGACATATTTAATGGATTTATTTGTTTATTTTTAAAATACTTATAAATATTGACAAATTTTTATATTTGTTGAAAGAGATACACGTGCATTACGGAACAAGTACGTACAATTTTTTTTATATAAGAAAATCATTCATTAACACTTTAAATATAAGGTGACATTCAAATAATATCCTATTATAAAAAGAAAAATATAAATAAATTTTATATTTATTTAAAATAAAAAGTATTAATGTATTATCACGTTTTTTTGCCAATATTATTATCCGCACTCACACTTAACAGTGGAGCTTCTTAACTGCTAAAAAGATTTTTATACTTATACTTTCGTATGCTAGTTAAAACATTATTTTGTCAGATAAAAATCATATTGATTCTGAGCAAGTAAATTTGAAAGAGAAAGAAAATAATTTTAGATTTTATTGATTTACTAGATATTTAATAATTCTAAGAATAGTTTTTAAAAATTATATAAAGTATTAATAAAATTAATATTCTTAACTAAATATTTAAGTTTTTAAAATAATAACATATTTTTTTTATTATAACTTTCATCTATTAAACAAATTAAAAAAGTAATTTCCACAATTTTCAAATGAAAATAATTAATTTATCAATCATAATTTACTAATGTTTGCATATTTTTATAGTTAAATTCGAGAGAAAGAATATCAATTATTGCTTAACCTGTGACACATGTAATACCTATAATTATTTATGATAAACAAAAAATATGGAGTGCTGTGATGTTTAACCATGAACAAAAGTTGTGGTAACAATAGCCATGCATGCACAGTTGGAGGAACAAGAAAACAAAGAAGAAAGGTGGCAGTGGGTGTGGTGTGCGGTGACAGCACGGGATAGAAGAAAGAACCCTGTGCATGCAGGCTCGAGAATCTGTGCAGCTAGCAAACGCCAACTAATAAAACAATGCTCAGGTTCCCACAATTTCATGAGGTCCCTTTCCTCTGAGTTTTCTTGAACAAGTCAATAACCCTATGTATATGAACCAACAAGAATTGTGGCTAATTAATAAAATCGAATCTCTGACCAAATCACATTATTGTAGTAGCATAGATTAATGTATGTATTTATGTGACTTGTGTCCGGATGCCTCGGTTGGAGTTGCTGGTGGCGTGTTCTGTGGTTGAAAACACATGCACGCAGTTCTGTGATAGAGAACATAATTACTTATTAATTACATCAAATCTGGATTACTCTTGTTTTCATTATCACAGTTGTGTCTCATAAAGGAACAAAAATCTTAGATGTTCTATATAGACTAGGGACTACGCGTCCACGCTTTTAATTTCTACTTTCATAATTAAGCTTTTAAGTAACGTGTCGACTAATACTGTACTTATTGACTAACATATGACATATTACTGTACTTATTGACTAACATATGACATATATATGCATAATATGTAATTTTAGGTTTCTCTGCAAGAGGAATAACATGATTAATTTAAATATTTTAAATATTAAAATAACCTATTGAATATATTAAAATTTGTTTAAGATTAATAAAGTATATTTGTAATAACAACGATTATAATATTGCTTGATTAATCAAACTCACCCAACATAAAAAAATATTATGTCTAGCAGTTTAGAAATATATCTAATTTTATAAGCAGTTTTTTTTAATATTTATTATCATTTTATATAGGTATTTTTTAAGAAAAAATATTTAATTTTTTTTGTTGATCAGCAAAGAAATAGGTGATATATCCGAATCTTGTTTTTTTGAAAGTCTTCTTAATTAATATAAACAAGTGTGTCACTTTGAGTAAATAATAGTACAAATAAGGATTATTTTGAGATACTTGTAGATGAGAGTTATTTCTACTAAAAAGGGAATGTGATAGAGTTACAATATGACGATTAGAGTTTAAGAATGATTTACATCTCACATTATATTATATTATATTAAAATCAAATCAAATAATATAAGAATAAGAGAAGCTCACAAACATATTATACGATAATAATGTTATAATATCATTCTATGATGATTTATAATATCAAATTGTAAATATATTTTTTTGTATTTTGAATTAATCGTAACTCTTTTATATTGTTTGAATCATCCTTATCTTAATATATAAAAGAATGATATAATCGAAATAAATTAGAAAAATTATACTATAAAATAAAATAAAATATATATTTTTTATATAAAAATATCTTTTATATTAATTGCAGTAACAATTACATAATAAATAATTTTTTATATAATAACCTATTAGGTCGATTATAATTATGTTGGTTGTTAGTTGAATAAATATAGTAAGTTTTAACAATGTCATAACACCACTTGTTATAATCTTGTAACAATGTCTAGATATTACTCAACTTATAAATATTATATTAGAATTGTTATAATAATTTGTTATTAAAAATTGTTTTTTTATTACTGTTATTGGTTAGAATAATTATGACTGTAAATAAGTTAATTAGAAAGAACACTAAAATATTTTCTCTTTAAATTTCTAATTTTAATAGATAACTTGTTATAGATGACATATTTGCTCAATGTAGTTTCGATATTATAAAAAAGTACATGTCGTAAAATATTGATTAACATTTATCTTAAAGTTTTTTTTTTATATGTGATTATGAATTTATTGTTACGAATTTGATGAAACATTATTTTTATAGTTAAAAAAAAACTATCTATTTCCTAACCTAATAAATTTCAATATTTTTCTAAAAATTAATAACCCTTATTTATTTTTAACAATTTACTGTCATATTCTTTATAAGAAAACTTATAAACTTTTGCATATGTCACAATAAACGCATAAATTTAATCTTTAAATACTTAAAATGTTAATAATTTTTTAATTTGATCTCTAATCTTTACATGATCTAACTATATATCAATAATTTATAACAATAGTTTTCAAAATTATTTATGAATTTTGTTTTAACAATAATTTATTTAATGTATTATTAAGATATTAAAAAAAAGGTGACGGATTTGAATTCAAAATCCAAAATTGATAATATCCCATAGATTTGCTGTGATTTACACGTTGGTGCGCCAAATAAAGTATGTTTCCCTATTAATTCATTTAATATGCTTTTTAAGAAAAAAAATAATAACAAAATCGAGTTTAAACTTTAAAAGAGACTATATCTTGAATGTAATAATATAAAGATTTTCACCAGTTACAAAATATAAACATTTATAATATATATTGAACGTATCAGGTGAGAGGATAATTTATAATTTATTGTGAGAGATGAGATAATGCAAAATTAACACAAAAAATCAAATTTATGATCCACTTACTTGTTTCCTTCTTCTTCTTCTTCTTTTTTTTTTTCCCCTTTCTTCTTTTGCATTTTGTGGAAATCAAGTTGAAGCATCTTAACCAGTTTTTGGACTGAAGAATTTAATCACGACTTCAAAAAGGTTTGGTCTATTTTATTATCTCTTTATTAGCATATTTATAACAATGTGTGGGCATCTAACATGATTTGTCAATGTGTATGAAATATTTTTTTCTTAATGATAAATAAATAAAACACATTTAGTTTTTGAACTTGTAATTAAATTGTTCAATGCTAGATTGGTTGAAGTGTTTCAATAATTTTTTATTCCCACAAAGAGTTATGCGAAAGATGAAAACGAAACACACAAAAATAGAGAAAAAGAAAAGAAAAGGTGAAAACTAAAAACCAGATAATGAAGTATGAAAACGAGAGAAACTTAAATATCAAAGTGACTACTTTTAATGAGAGTTTTAAATTGAAAGTGGTTTATCTCACCTCTCACATATGCAACTTATCATAATTTAGATATAAATAATTTTATATTTATAAAATCTACCTCAAATCCAAATTTTGCATGATCAAAGTCTTTCACAAAGAGAGGGATCAAATTCAAATGAAAACCCCTATGAACTGATTATAATACTCATAGGTCATATATACCGTAACTAATTAGTTTGATGGAAAGTTATACCTTAATTTCTGTATCCTATACCTTAATATGTCAAATAATCTATCATAACGACGCGTCTCTATAAATATAAAATTGAAAATATATATTTTCATTGACGAAAGAGGCATATTTAATATTGCAAAAGCGACAAATGTGATGTGACACGCTGGCTTGAAGAACCTGGTGTTAAACACAGTTAAAAATTAATTTCTCAAACATTATAGTTGGAAACAAATCATTAATTATGTTTAGAGGAGTATTATTAGGGAAAAACTTCATATGACATTTGTATAAGAAAACATCTGTTTTAACATATAATCTCTCATAGTGCAAATCTAATAACAGAACTTTTGACCAAACAATTTGAGTAATAATATTTACCAATCATATCATATTATTTACTCTCTAACAAAATAATATTTGTAAAGAAACAAATTGTCATACGTAAGTAGTAGTAGTAGTAGCTGCAGGATTTCCTAATAAGCAAGTTGCCCTGATGTTAAGCGATCATGGAATCGGAAAATCTACAACTTTTCTGATACATTCAAAGGAATGGCAGTTGGGTTTGGACTTTTGCGTATTAGAATAATCACTTAGTATCGTAGATCAAAGATGGCAATGGTATTCTATAATAAACTGGTAATGGAAGAATAAGACACAAGTTGATTAGAAAGGATAAACTAGTATTAAGGTGTTATTAATACTGGGAAGAATGGAGACCCAAGGAAAAGGGAAGAAACGCACAGAATGTCTTATCGAGATGTGGTCAAATGGTTAATTAGTAGTGTGTGAACCAAAACAAATGTGTCATTCAGTCACTGGGAAAAGCAAAACATGAGATTTACATGGAAGATAAAAATAAGGAAATTATTATAAGTTGAGAACAGTGAAGATAGATAGATAGATAGAGAAAGAGAGATGATTACAGAGTGGCCCATGGGTGTGGTCACATGGATTCCTGTGAAGTCTGAAATAAGTTGTGTTGACTGTTGCATGTTTTTCATTTTTCTTTTGCTTCCTCATTTCCTCTTGTATGGATCTGTCTCAGAATCTCTGAGCTATTATCAGCTTTTCGTGACCTTTCTCTGTTCCAGGCACAAGTCTCGGACCACATTATTACCAAATCAAAGCCCACATTCACTTGCTTCGTAAAATATAAAACTTGTGCACACTCAATATGTAAATTCCTTTATTTTATAACGGTTCAGTAATTATTTTTAATAATCATTTTAATCTTATATATTTAATTTCCAATTTAATATTTTAAATCTATAAAAATATAATCGAGTTAAATTTAAATTAATCACAATAATCTAACCATAAATTTATTGATTTGAACATGCATGAACAAGTCACATTTATCACAGCTTATTTATTTATTGCTCCATTACATAAAAATAATATCACAAAAGACATTCTTCGATACTATAAAGTGGTACCAGATACCTTTTAAAACCTAATTTTTAACTAGTTGATTATTCCTTAGTCTCTTTTGCAAGTGTAAATCATTGCTACAGCAGTTGTTTTTTTCCTTATGTTAGAAGTATCAGATTCCGGTAAGATCTGGAACAAAAGTAAGTGGAATTTTGCAATACACAGATTATAATATTTACAAATTTTTTAGAGTATTTGAAGACATTAATTCAAACTTTTAAATCATAATTATATTTTTATATGAAGTAATACATTAAGTAATGGAATAAGCACAGACGAAGGACCACATTGTCCTTTATTAACAGATGCAGATATAATGCATCCAAGAGAGAGAGAGGTGAATGCGATCACAGTGAAGACCCTGTTGACGAAATATGCATTTGATACAAAAGTTTTCGATATGCCTTTGTCCCCTTACCGACCAGCCGTTTGTTTCACACCCAAAACTGCATTATTTTCGGCTATAATGTCTAATTCTCCTAATTAGATTTGATTGTGATGCTTTTTGTGGGTAAGATCAAGTTATTATAGAACACAAAAGATTGCAGAACCCATTTTTCTGTTTCAATCGTTTTGTTATTCCAAGAAAGATATTCTATATAAATAAAGAATTTAACAAATTAACACCACGAAATATTGTCCAACTCAATTATTACTTTTATAACCTTATAATATATTTAGCTCCTCTTCTTTAAACTTGGTTTTTAGAAAATATTTGGAGTCTTTAAGTAGTGTGAGTCAATTCATAAGAGAACATTTTATTCTATTCATTGAACTGCCCCAAAGACTTTAATTGAGAAAAAAAAAGTGTTTTTTTTTTTTTACTAACATAACTTGGTTCAATTTCTCTCATAACTATTAAAATTTATAGTTGTGATGAATCCGATCAAGATGTTGAATTAAAGTGACTATATGTGATAGATATTGATATACTAATTCAAATTTTATTGTATTTAGCAGTATGATATGAACTAGACTCTTATCAACTGACCAAAACCCTCTTCTTGAAAGGAGTTTTCTCTTTTAGTGTAACATGAAAACATGTTACAAGCTGAAGTATAAACTGTTGTTCACAAATGTATATTAGGAGTCTTCTGCCTAGATAAATAACCCCCAAACTTAAATTCATCTTTTGTCTCTATCATTTTACAACTATGCAATTTTTTTATCCTTATTAAATTTTAATGGTAGATTAGATTTTCTATTTTTTTTCAAAATTAAATAATTTTCATCCAATGTTAATATGTTATCTAATTTTCTATGTTAAAATTTTAAAAGAAATCTTATAGAAAAAAATGATAATTATTTTGTAATCATGTATATCATTAGTCTATAACATGGAGGTTGTGTGGCATCACAAGTGGTTGGGTTGGGAAAGTCATTAGTCTATTGCTGGTAGTACAAATATTATAAATATGAGATAATAAGAAATTGGCAAGAGAATCTTTCTGTGAGTTTCCCGGTGATTAAGTTCGTGCGATCAAAGAACTGGTCTAAGACGAAAAACCTCACGTGCATAGGGCTGTAGCTTTTTGTTTGTTTGAACACTGAATCCACTTTGAAGATTTTAAGGCAAAAGGGGAATTGTTCTTAAGGTGATGGTCATAAAAGGGTTACTTTGTTTGCTCCATTAGTGCCCCTGCTTTGGCCTTTGCTAAAACCAAACTACCTTCCTTCCTGACCCCAAAACTCTTCTTAGTATCTAATCATTAACCTTGGTCACTTCCCTTCTTTTCCAAAACTCTTCTCACCATCATCTAATCATTAACCCTTCATCTTACTCTAAAACCACCTCTCTCTCTCTCTCCTTTTCTCCTCACCTCTGCTTTCTCCTCTTGAACAAAGAAAGTGGTGTCTCCTTTTAGAGTTACACTTCCCCATTTGAACAACTTCAACTTTTTCTGACAAAAAAAAATGGCCCTCCAGGCCGTGGTTTTCCCACAAGATCCATTCGCTTACCCTTGCAACAAAGACTACATGTACTCGCTGGTAGAAAACAATTTCCAAGTAGCAGAAAACAAAGCCCTTGTGGGAATCATCAGCAACAACATCGACCACACTCTGCATGCAAATTGGGATTCTTCTTCTCCTTCAGCTTTGCAAAATGTCAAAGACCAATGGGACTCACACTCCTCCCCTGAACCCTGCACCGTCGATCACTCCCTCCCCGCCGCTTTCCCTCCCCCTCCGTCCTCCACTGACGCCCCCACCGGCCGCCGCAAACGCCGCCGCACCAAGAGCGCCAAGAACAAGGAGGAGATAGAGAATCAAAGGATGACCCACATTGCAGTTGAACGCAATCGGAGGAAACAGATGAACGAGTACCTAGCTGTTCTTAGATCCTTGATGCCACCCTCTTATGTCCAAAGGGTTAGTCTAAATATCCTCCATTTAATAGTTACAATTTACACATTTAAATTATAAATTTGGACCATGCTTTGAAACGTTGGACACAAATTTTTGTTTTTTTAACCTTAACCTGTGCTAAGTTTCGGAAATGTTTAAAAAAAGCAGGGTGATCAAGCATCTATTATTGGTGGCGCCATTAACTTCGTGAAGGAGCTGGAGCAGCTTCTGCAGTGCATGAAGGGTCAGAAGAGAACAATGGAAAATGGTGGTGGCTTCTCTGACTCATCACCCTTTGCTGAGTTCTTCATGTTCCCTCAGTACTCAACACGTGCGACACAGAGCAGCAGAGGCTACCCTGGCACGTGCGAGACACGGAACAATTCATGGGGCGTGGCAGACATAGAAGTGACCCTGGTGGATGGCCATGCCAACATAAAGATACTCTCCAAGAAACGACCAGGCTTGCTTCTGAAGATGGTAGTTGGCCTTCAAACTCTTGCCTTCACCATTCTCCACCTTAATGTTACCACTGTTGACGATATGGTCCTTACCACAGTTAGTGTCAAGGTTGGTTTTTCTTTCATGCTACCTACCTAGCTAGATAAGTTTCCTTATTTATCTTTCTTTTCCAATTTTGGGCCAAAACGTACACTCTTCTACCACCCCATTTTTATATTTATCATTTTCTCTTTTTGAAAATGTCTATGATAGCTTGATAAATTGTAAGAGTTTTGATACACTTAGCAATTTCACGAATACTGACACGAGGTTCTGTTTAATGTGATTATTGGTCTAAAATCTAATTGTAACAAAACTCTTAGAGCGGAGAATGTCTTGTTTTCACTCAAAATAGGAAAATAGATTACTCCACAATTGCATGATAAGTTCCATTCCTCCCAAAGTAGGGTGAAAATTTATGATGGTATTAATTTATTTGTGGAACAGGTAGAGGAAGGGTGTGAGTTGAACACGGTGGATGAAATTGCAGGCGCTGTGCATGAATTATCCCGCACGGTGGAGGAGGAAGCTGTTTTGAGCAGATGATGGATTAAATATGGAAAGAGCAAAACCATATTGCACCCTGTTTTACGAATAATTGTGCAAACCACCTCTGATACCTTTGTTGAAACGCGTTGGAGTTTGCAGGGTGTGGCCCGTGAACCATGCAGCACAAGGGATAGGCTTGTACATGCACCAGTCTCAACGTGATATGTATAAACGTTCCATTTCAATAAGCTAGGAGATGCTAATTAAAGTACAGGTTTCTCACTCTTTTCTCGTTTCATATTTTTTTCCTCTTTCATGCCATTCTCCCACCTTGAAGAAGCAAAAAAATCGTTGGAAGCGACAATGAATTTATGTTGTGGAGGCCCCCTTTGCAGAAGTGTGTATGAATTATTAGCGTTATTTCCAGAGCATGAGCATCGTTAATTTCCTTGGAATGTCTGTGGACCTCTTACAATTATTTTTCCCCTGTACAAGATTTCAATATTGAATAATAAATAATTCCCTCTTGCCACTTCCAAACGCGCATTTGAAGAGGGGAAAAACCAAAGGAATGATATGGGCATAAAAGAAGGAATGGAATTTGGTCACAATGCGTAGCACCTACAAATAAAAAATGAACATTAATATTATTAGTATTATTATGGTTATCCTTATACGCGGCTTGTGTATAATTGTATAGCATGATTTTGGTTGTCCTTCTTTCCACGAAACCCGATATGAGATGATTCTTCTAAAAATTGACCTTTCCATGGCGTGTTTGACTCCACGGATTACAGAAGGCATAGTATCAGTGATATGTAAAGATCATGTTGAGGCTTATTATGATGATACGTATATAACTACAATCCAGTACAGTAGACAACCATCAAAGTTTCTGCTATATTTCTTACAAAAACATATTTACTCATATTCAACTTAATTAATTCTTCCCATACTTGGTTAGTTTTTGTTGGAGTGCTTTAAACAAATAAAAATTAACGAGACTATTGTTTTCAAATTTTTAAAATCTCAAAAATTGTATTATACCTCCACAAATCACGTCAATGACGAAACATGACTCTGTTATTGTGTAGGAATTAAATCTATTATTCTTAAAGTATAAGAATAAAAAATCACGATTGATAAAAAATCATGACCTTAATCAGACTTATTACTTGTCATCAGTTTCTGTAGCCAATAAAGTATAAAGTATAAAAATTAAAATTAACCATAGCTGCTTAAAACATGAGAGAATAGTGAAAATAACCAGAGTATTTGTAAACTCTAACTTATTTATATGATTATATCAATTTAGCTTTAGATAATAATATTTAAACGTATATTTTGCAATATGACCTCTATATAAGCAAACATTTCCATTTTAATAAGAGTTGTAGACTCGATCATTTATATCGGTTAAGATGTTTGAAATATATATATAGTTACTTAGATCCACGTGTTAGGTCTAAAAAATGTACGTTATGATGCGAAAATAGTATAAAAATTGGTATAAAGAATAGATCTTAAAAGTACTTGAAATAGTCTTAGTCCAACTTATTTTAGTGAGCACATGTTGTACTCATGGATATCCATGCTGCAAGTGTTTTTATTGTCCGCAAATTAGTTTATTTATTTTTGGGTGCATATAAATGGCAATTGTATATATTTCATTCAGAAATGAAAAAATATATTTTTTCTCTTTTATTTAAACTTTATCTAATAAAGTATTTTCTAAGATCTCTTCATCCTTTTGGTTCGTTTTTCCTTCGTCATGTAATGTCTCAAATCCCTTACTTCTCCATCACTTTAATGTCCCTAGGATCGTCTTTGTGTCTCAACCTCATGTTGGACTCTTCCAACAACAACACATGGAATCGTGTTGTGGTTGTCGAATTTTCTTTTGCGAGTTGTTGATAATTTTATTTAGAAACACGATCGCACCAATTCTTGGATATTTGAATTGTTGGTAAAGGAAGAAAAGCAAAGGGAAATGATTATTTGCTACCTCCCTTGTCGAGACTCAACTTGCTTTTGATTTTACCTCTAATGATACGACAATTATTACCCTATCTACTCTCAATGCTACCCCTTTTCGTCCACAAATATATATTTTTATGATACACTTGGCTTTATTTCTCATAATTACTAACTCATTTACATTGGTGCAAGGTGACACTTGCGCACCATATCATGATGTATCTTTACTCATCAAAGGTTCTTTTTTACGTTAACAAATCATATCTTAGATATGAATCTTCAATCAATAAATGAAAATTTGGTGCTGATATAAACTTGACTCATGTGACTTGAAGTGGATCAAAGGAAAACGAGATCTAACTCCGCAAATAATCATGGAAAAGATAAAATAGCACAGTATGATTTTAGGTCTATATTTGTTTATAAATATCTAAATCAGTTCCCCCGGCAAGATCATTATAAATATTTGACAACTACATGAACCAGTATTATTGATTCATCGAAAAGCATCGAATATATATACACATGCACCTTCCAAATCATCTTTGACGTGTGAATACTTTTGACCACTTTCCTTTGTCTGCTTCGCAGTAGCACAATGACCCGGTTCGTAGTTTCAAAAAATGCAGAAAAATTAGTATAACTTTGATGATCAACAAATTTTGAATTTGCATATTTATGACCGTTATTACAAATTGTGTGCCATAATTGACGCGAATGTGAAAATATAGTGTGAATATTCAACACGTAATAAATCTATTTATTTTTTTAACTTGGTAGAATGATGAGTAGGTGCTTCTTGAACGTGCCATTGGTTCATAATGTTTCTTTTATTAATTAAATTGGTCCACTTGCGAATAGAATATTTGGGTATACGTCCATTTCAACAAAGATTCAGATTGTTTCCTTTTATTTTCAGTGTGAATACAACGTGCTACATGTATATATAAGCCCATAGATTTGGGTAACCACCATAATACCATGTACGTATATGCCAACGTTGATTCATTGTACTTCCTCATCACTATTTTTGGACCATTTGTAGAGACAAATCACATATGAAAAAGCCAAAAAAAAAAAAAAAAAAAAAAAAAAGAGATGGGGTGTTATGTGTATATGTACATAATTGCAACTATATATTAAGCCTTATTTAATGTTATATACGGACCTTGAGTTCTATTTATATGCTTCATCCCCTAAAACCAAACAAGTTATCGTGTGTAAAACTATTTAAGAAAGTTTGAAATGGATGGCATAAAAGATCCATTAGATTTGTGTTGGCACTTTAGGGGAAAAAAGAGAGAGCTATAAAGGCATACCTAGCGTCCTCTCAAGTGGGTTTTCTAAGGGGCGTTCTTATCCCTTATTCTTTCATTCGTCACATGTTCAATGGAGTTATATTTTGCCACCTCATAAATGTTTGTAGAAAAGAACCTTAAAAACTTTATAATTTAAACAAAACCTTTTTTTAAATTGTTGCTTGAGTTTGAGTCAAATCAATTACTATTTATTCCATAACTAATTTTCAACTTTTAAATTAGTATATTTTAGATTTTAGATATTAGATATTGCATTTTCCTCTACTTTGTTTATTATTTCATTTTTTTAATATTCTTATTTGATATTACCAGGTGTCTTAATAAGGTTATATTTATTATGCAAATCTTAATGTATTTTGAATTAAAATTTAATGACTCTTGCAAAGTAAGATTTCTAAAAATATATATATAATAATAGCCAATCATTAAAGAATAAAGAAAATGTTTACCTTTCATTAACAAATCATTTATAGTGGTCTGATTAATGGTTGAATTGGATTATTCATGTTTGTTGAGATAAAAACATACACGGTAATACTTTTTCCATTCTTTAAGTTCAATGAAATAATACACAAATTAAAATAACTAGTTAATTTAATTAAAAGTAATATTTTTTCCTATATGTATATTTTTAAAATTATTATACACTTTTCTTTAATTTTAATTCATTATTCTCTATTAAATATTTTGAAAAGGATTGATAAAAAAATCTTATAGGATACCAGTTACCTATATTAAAAAAAATATGACATTTTTTTCATTCAAAATCTTAATATATTGAATTATAGATGTTTTTTACATTATAGGTGTTTTTTATTTATAAACTATTCAATTTTTTTTTACGTAAGACACTCAAAATGTTAAAATCATTAATTATTTATGAGAATGATATATTGATAAGACGGCACAAAATATTTATTAAACAACATAATTTATTATTATTATAATTATTTAAAAAAATAATCAAAATAAAGATAATTAAAAATTAATATTATATGATTAAATGGAGTTGTTAAAGAAATATTTATTGACAAAGAAGGTGTTAAAATATATATTTTAGGTAACAGAGGAAAGATTGGAAACAAAATTGAAATTCCCATGAGGATTCGAAAAGGTTCCCCACTTTAGTGGGTCTTGTGGCAAATGATGTGACCAAAAGTAAAAAGTTTGGGAACAGAATGTTCTACCCTCACTTTTCTTAATATAATGTGCCAATAATTTCCTTTTTAAAATATAAACCAAATCACCTTTCTGCGAGAAGTAAATAATTGAATTGAAGTGCAACCTGTCAAAGATGTTTCTCTTTTCAAGTTACAATGCAGACAAATTTTCAGGGACAGCAATTACATTAAGTCTTAAAAGATGTTCCTTTTTTTTTTTTACAATTACAATTTTTACATTTTATAAAATCTGCAATTCTATAACCTTTAATTTTGGTAAAATAACTTGTTTAACTAAACGCTACGCTACAATACTATACGAAGTGCACACTGGAAAGAGACTTTCGAAATCATTCAGGCCACTTTGGAAGCCTCTCTCTGTAAATGGGTCTTCTGGGCTGCTTCTCCATTTGGCCCATTAATCAATCCATGCAACACTCAATTTCTTTAATTTTTGGGCAATCATTTATGGGTTTTTTTCTTTAAAATGGGTTAAAAGTATTTAAATTTTATTAATATAAGTCAAATTTTTAAAAGATTACCAAAAAAAAAAAGGTAAATTCTATTGCGTCACACAATTTTAAATAAAAAAATTATGGAAGATAAAATGATTTTGTGATAAAAAAATTTAAAATTATGTTTTTCCTGATAAATTTAACGTAAATTTTGTATTTTTATAAAACTAAAATCCTACTAAATAGTAGGATATAACTAAAATTTATTACATAATATAATTTTGGTTTTGTTTTTTTAAAAAATATATTATTTAAAAATTATTAATATATTTATTATTATATATTTATATTATAAAATATTATATTAATTATTTATTATATTTATATTAATTATTCTTTGATATAAATTTTGTATAAATAATAAAAATAAAAATATATTTTATATAAAATAAAATATATTAATAAATTTATTTTTAAATTTTAATTATGTTATATTATTTATTTAAAAATTAATAATATATATTTTTACAATTTTTTATAATTAAATTAAGTTTTTGAGATAAATATATTATTTAAAACTTATAATTTATTTATTTTTTATATAAATATATATATATTAGAAGTTATAAAATATTATGTTAATTATTATTCTATATAAACTTTGTATAGTAGTATATAAATAATATATTTATTTAAATAATATTTATTATTAATTTTTAAATAAATAATTTAACATAATTTAAATTTAAAAATATATTTATTACTATATTTATTTTTTATTTAAATTATTTTTTCTATTTCTATTATTTATAAAATTTATATAAAATAATAATTTATATAAATAAAATTAATAATTAATATAATATTTTATAATACAAATATATAATAATAAACAAATTATTAATTTTAAAATAATATATTTATTTAATAAAATTAATTTAATTATTTAAAAAAATAAAAGTAATAGTAGGACTTTGGTTTTATAAAAAAAATTATGTTAAGCAAAAAATACAATTTTAATGTTTTATCATAAAATCGTTTGTTTTATTTAAAATCGTGTAATGAAATACGATTTAATCCTTTTATAATTTTTTAAAAATTTAATCCATATAAGTAAAATCTAAATATTTTTAACTCATTTTAGTTAAAAAAACCTCACTCTAAATTCATGAAGGGTAGATTACCCAACATGGATCTAAGCATGAAGCAATTTTTTTATTAGGTTTTTCTGAATTAGTAACCGCAATTTTAATTAATGAAAAATATGGCACCCAAAATTAGGAGAAAAGTGTTTGTTTGCACTTACAACTTGTTTTATTATTAACTTTTAAATTATTCCATGCACCTGTATAATTGAAACTGCAATTACAGAACATGCCATGGTATTTTTTTAAAATGATTTAAGATTACCATGATTTTATCTAATTTTATGTAATATAATAAAAAATATTATAATATTATTTTCAACTCAAAATTTATTATATATTTTCAGTCCTTTTTATTTAATTTTTTATTTTTATATCAAGATGTGATCTGCACATATGTAATACATCACAGATAAAGGAAAATAGGTCAATGCAAATTTATTTTGCTCCACTTCAATTACAGTTTGCTAAGGAGGAATATGAATGTTTTAACAGACCTCAACATCGTGTGGGAAAAATCAAACTTTTACTAAAACACAATTTAGAACCAAAAAATAGAGCACTTGGTGTACCTCATTCCCCATTTCTGGAAGCAAACCTGTTATGTTCTGCAGTGTCATTGAACATTGTGATTGTAAGCACACAGCATAGTTAGCTTCACATGCCCCATCACTTGCTAAATTCAATTACAATTAACAATTTATTCTTCATAATCAAACCGCATTAAATTGGTCTCTTTCTCTTTTCACAATTCGCTGTGTACACCATGTCAGTGTTCAAACTCCAACCTAAGGAGAGTGCCCTCAATTCTGAGGGTAAAATGAACATCACATCTCATGTTACCGATGAATAACGGTATCTCACGGCACGCTATGTTCATCTAATAGATTGAAATTTCTAGTAGGGATGAATGGAGTTTAGAGTTTAATGTCACGCAACCTCTCGAAGTTAGAAATCTTCCATTGCAGGAGAATGATCTTTTCATGGAAACCGGGCTTAGATGCAAACACTCTTCAATAGAGGAACAACGACGCATTGTTTTACACATTTTTGGATAGTAATCACCGTCTTTCTCTTGCTTCCGTAGATTAACAGCGCGCAAGTGTGTTTCATCATGTTTATGATCATCGCCAACATGATGACTCTCAGATTCTGTCGTTGAAACAGATCCCATTTCTGTTTGAATCTCAATATCCAGCACGTGATGGTTCTGAGTTCGATCATTCACCGGATCCTTGGAATTTGATTCATCAACCAACTCTAGTGCTTCACTCGATTCCCCTGCAACCATGTTGCTGCTTAACAAACCTTCGGTCCTTGAATTCTCCGTAAGGGTCTCTTGATTTCTTCTCAAATTTGCATTCTCTTGCTCCAAATTCGACACGGGTGCTTCAGAAGTGACACTGTTAGAGACAATACCGGCGCGACAAAGAGGACAATTGGTGTGTGATCTCAACCAAGTGTCAATGCAAGGGATGTGAAAAGCATGGTTGCACTTTGGCAAGAGTCTCAAGGCCTCTTCCTCTTGGAACTCGTTCAAACACACCGAACACTCGGTTCCTTCAATCAACCCTTCGTTCTTTTTGTACTTGCACACCGTGATGGAGTTTATGACGGATTGTTGCAACCCCACCGTGGCAATGAGCCACACGGGGTGGTCAACTTGGTTCTCATTGAGAAACTCCTCAGTGGTGGTGTCTGATTGAGAGGGAACTGATCCGTTGACCCTCCACCCGCACCATGCAGCATAGCACTTCACTTTGATCACGTAGAAAGAAATGACAACAAAAATGACCGTGAAGAGTGTCACGAGGATGATCAAGTAGGAGGATATGTGGTTAACTTGTGTCGAGTGTGAAATAGATGGTGGCGGTGGAGAGAAGAAGTAGTCTTGGTTAGAGTAGCAGTTGTAAGGGCATGCAGGGTCACATAAGCCATAGCAATCCTGTGTTTGGGTTTGGTTTGTGGTTGTTGTTTCATCTGGGAAGAGTTTTCTGTGTTCGTTGGCCATTGGAGTGTGTTTTATGAAGAAACTTAGGGACACAAAGGGACAGAGAGGAAATGAAAAACAGGGTTAAACGTGAGGTGGATTTTGTTTGGATTAAAAGAGAAGGAATATTTTTCTTTGTTTTGATGTCACTGTCCAAGGTTTAGGAAACTATTGATGTGTTTGTTGGGTTTGGTAATCTGTAATAAGGTTGAAAGAAACTCCTTATCTTGTTTGGTTGGTTTATTAAACAAGTAACAAATTTGAGCATTCAAGTCTCACCAACAAAGAATTTTCAAACAGTTCAGGTATCATAATTTGTCCCTATCCTACTACTTCGAATTCCTTGTAATTTCGTCTAACATGAATTAAGAGTTAACATATTCTTTTAACTCGTATTTTTTTGCTAAAATTTTTCTTTTAACTCGTATTATGATGTAAACATCTTTCTTAACAGGTTGAATGGATTCCAAAGTAAAATTTCACCAACACTGTAAATTATTTGGAAATTTCTAATAAAAAGAATAAAGGATTTACTCGGTAGGAAACTCTCCCACAATTCATAGAAAATAACTTTCTTAAGAATGAACAGGATTTTCCCGTTTTAGATTTTCTTAATTTACATGAGTTTTAGTTTATGTGTCCTCGTGTTATTTTTTGTGCTTTTTCTTTTATCGATAATAATATATTATTGTTGGCATGGTTGCATATGATTAATGAAACTTGATGTATCAACCTAATTGAGATACTGTGGTTTAATTGTGATGCATAATGTCAATAACCTTTTTCATAAGAAAAAAAAATAGAGATGATAGCTTTATCTGACCTTAATTATCTTTATAAAATTTTAAATATACTCATATAACTTAAGATTCAACATAATCATAGTATGAATATTTTATGAGATAGTTTGAAAGTTATTGGTATGAAGTCCTTATCCAGATAACCACATCCTATCTTAAAGTTTGGTGAATTAATTCTCTAATCGTCTTCAAAGCTCAAATCAAAATAAATTCAACGATGTGATATTGAACAACTTGAGGTAGTGTTAGATGATGGAAATTTGTTTGAGTCTTTTTCTAAATTTAAATAGTGTTGGTTGAATGCAAGAATTTTTAGGGAGATTCTAATCAATTAATATGTTATATTTGTGAAACTTTAGAATCATTTACAGCTTATCAGTTTTTCAATTTAAAAAAGAAAAAAACTGTCACATGGTTTGAACATGACAAGATGAGTCAATTTCAAATCACAATTCAATTCTTTTATCAAAATTTTAATTAGTAAATAAGATAACATTTGTTTTATTTTAATTACCATTTTGACTTTGTTAGTTCGAACAAGTACTATTTGAACTTCTAAACAAAATATTATTGTGTGAAATGTTAATTAAATTCTAACAAGTTTAGACAAAAATGTAATACATACTCTCCTGTTGACTAAATTATGTCTTTTCTGTCATAAAAAAATAAAAGTAATAAATGAAGAGATTTAAAAAAAAAAACATATTTATGAAATTAGGTACAATATCCCATCATCTAAAATTCTTACGTATTATTAATGTTATAATTTGATAATTTATCAGCACAAGCATTCTCTTATCTAAAGAAATGTGTAAATTTAGTGACCAATTCCATTACTAAATCGTGGTCACTTAAGTTTTCTTCTTCTTCCTTTTTCCCAAAAGAACAAACATACAAATGTATAAAATATATGTCGTGTAATTCAAAAATATTTTCTCATACAAAAATTTTACATATTTTTCTTAAATTATGATTTGTCCCACTTAATAAACTATTGAAAGAACATGTCCCATTATCAAATTACAAAATATTTATATTATAAATTTAGTTATATTTTTTTAAATTACATTAATAAATAATCTAAATTTAATTTGATTATAAATATTCCTATTAGTAAAAAAGGGAATTGATTTTATAGAACAACCTAACAACTATGACAAGTATACATTTAGACTTTTTTTTGTCAAGAACTAAAAAACAATTACGCACTAAAATGATGAGGTTAAATACTTGATAAAACATTCATTTAAAAAAATTTAAAAGTGGACCGATAATAATAATAATAAATATTTTTTAAAAAGAAAAATTTATTGTGACTTTTATAAATTAGTTATAAGTTATAAATGATTTATTGTTACAAATATTTACAATTTGCACATTTGATCTTTTAAAGTGTAAAATAAATTTTAGACGGTGAGATTTAAAGGTTGAAATTCAAAATAATTCATTTTCTTTAAACACATATATATTATTTTGTTAAATTTATATACTTTTTACAGTTTGTAGTAATATATATTTGATAATATTTTAAATTTTGTTACTCAATTAAATTTTTTAGATCATCATCCATTAGACACGATAACGGGGTAGATTTTGTCTTCCCATCCTCATTTCGAAATATTTTAATCATCTTCGTTTTTTTTATCTTCGTCGATATTAGAAATTAAGTTCTTATTCTTGTTCTCGTTAGGTTTTGGATTTATCTCGTCTTCATCCTATCTCCGATCTATATTATTTAAAAATAATAATTATATTTATAATAAATTAATTTTACTATTTTTTATACATAAATAATTATTTATAATTTTATAATTTGTAATTATTATTAATTAAATATATATTATAATTCATTATATTTATATTAAAATATGTATGTAAAAGAAATATTTAATTATTTTGTATTTATATATATATAGAATAAGAGGAATAGAATAATATAATAAACTAATTGATATAAAAGATTAAAAAAGATAAACGAATTAAAAAGTGGATAGAAGAAAAGTAAAAGTACTTTTAAAATGAAAAAAAGATTTATATGTATTAGAAAAAGAAAAATAAATTATTTAAATTATTAATATTTTAAAAATTAAATTTAAATATAAAATTGAAGTAGGAAGGAATCAAGACCGAAACGGAGATTACATTACTCATCTCCACCCTCACCCCCAACTTTTTAAAATGAGAAAAATCTGAACCGTGGTGTTTCTGGTGGAATTTTGATCGATTTCGTTTTCTAGGGAATTTTGTTCTAACCAAATTCCAACCACGTAGATTCTTTTTACTTAGGCTAGCAAATGGTTTTCAATCGAAATATGTATGAGAATCGAAAATCCTATAGTACCACAAATCTTAATATAACCTAATGACAATCGAAAGTGCTATTTTTGGTATTTTATATTTAAAGCACTCGAAGTAAAGAAAACAATAAATGTCAAATCGAAAAGTAGTACAGAATATAAAGCTGCGAAGAAATGTAAAATACGGAAACCTCAAATTTGCATTAAGTGTAAACGACAAAGAATCGAAATTACGGAAATGTAAATAACAGGAAATCGAAATTGCATAAATGTAAATAGCATGAAATCGATATTGCATAAAGTGTAAATAGCGAAAAACTTAGATGCATAATCTTAAATAGTCAGATAACAAGGAATCGAAAGTACATGAACTTAAAGTTGCTTGAACGTAAACTGCATCAAAGTAAATTACATGAACATAAATTACCAGGAAAAGTAAAGAAAGCGGTACAGATAATCAATGAAAATGGAAATCCAAATCGCTAGAAACTTCATGATTGCGTCGTTCTCCGGTAGACTTCTCACTAGTATTTCTGTTCTCTCTGTCAATTTCCCCTTTCTTTTCAGTCTTCGCTCTATTTATAGGGCATCTTTCAAGTAACCTCCCAAGAGCAGTTAAAACTGCCACCACGATCCATTATGCACGTTCCTTCAGTCTTAACAGTTTTAAAGAACTGCTCTCCACGTTCTCACGCATAAGAGAACTGCTCCCTCAATCTTCGATCTGAGCCATGGTTTAGGAACCGTTTCCCATGTCCCCTGTGTGTTCACTGCTCCCTCGATCTCGATTTCAGACATCGAGTATTTTGAATTTTGCTTTTGATTCCCTTTAAGTCTTAATTTTGTATTATTTTAATCTCTCGATTCTCTTCAACAATAGACATCGAAATCTGTTTCTTCGATTCTCGATTTTGATTTTCGATGTGTTTTTATCTTTGTGGTCACCAAGTGTCTTTTACCAATTGTCATTTTTTACCAATCATATGATCCTCGATTTTTCTTTCCTTCGTTTTTCGATCCCTTTAACGATTTCCCACTAACACGTGGTAATCTCTATCAATTTAAATTTTCTCCATAAAAATCATGACAAAAAAAAATTAATCCCATAAATTCAAATTTAATTCTCATCACTCTCATCCACAAAGCACAAAAGTTGTATCGATTGATTGTCGAGATTTGTTACCTTTGAATTTTTATTTTAAACCCAGCCACAAAATTAAATCTTTTGGATCATGGCCCACAAAATTGGACCTATTGATAGTGAAGGTTTGGGACCTTGGAATGGATTCCTTCCTGGACCGCATAACTTATCTGTATCCTCTAAATTAAATCAAACCTCTTTTTATTTTTATATTTATCTTCATCTTTTATTTTTGTTTATTTTTTATTTTGTTTTATTTTTGTTTAATTTTTATTTTGTTCAATGACTGATTTTTAAATTCTACTACAATATTTTCCTTCTTTTCTCTTTTATTATTCTAAAAATTACAAAAAAAATAGATAAAAATGTCCAACTTTTTTCTTATTTTATATCAAATTGTTACCTGTACAATATGCATGCAACAGTGAAGAGAAAATTTATGAGGGTGGAGGAAGCAAAATTTCCCCTTGGAATTTTACAAATGGACACCAAATCAAACATAAAATAGAATTTTCCATCAAAATTTTATTCTTAACGTCAGAATTTAACTCATTTTAATTTTTAACAATCTTTCATCGGATATCGGACAAACTTTAATATGAAGAGATTCATGTAATCTTACAAATACATTTATTGTTGATTAATTGCATTTTTTACTGGGGATGAAGTAGAGTAGCAAAATTTGTAGAAAAATGGCAGATGTGTTTTTCCCACCAAACTTCCCACCAAATATCTTCCCACCAAACTTCCTCTAATTGTTCATAAATGAACGAGGACCAAAATCATTGACAAACGAGAACTCTTGCTAAAAAGCTTTGGAAAAAATTTCATCTCTATTTTGATATAACTGCCAACGTTTCATATTTTAAAATTATATATTAATTTTCTGTTTTAAGTAACTTTGAAGGATTTACCCAGTTTTAGATTTCAATAAATGGAAGCACTTGTTTAATCTTAAAAAGCAAGCTGCCACAGTCAATTTTCAATGATACCTTGTTCAGATCTCTTTCCTTCAAACGATAAAAATATTATTATATCTTACTACTGCTATTTCAAAAGGTTATAAGTTGGTGAGGTTGAATAGTTTTGGCCTCGGAGATTTACAGCATGATCCAATTTTTTTATCAACTTGCAGCTAGAAGACATGCAAAAGTCAACAACTCTTTAGGAAAATACAGTTACGACAAAAAGAAGAAGATCAAAAGTAGATAAGAACACGGTTGTAGCCCAGTGCACGACATTATTAACTGTAATGAAAATATCTTAAAACTTAAATACCAAGAAAAACTACTACTCTATTGAAAAAAAAAGGATAAAAGTATATGTTAAAGAATCTATTAGAATAACTAATTGTGTTTTATTCTGCTCACTTTAACCCATTTTAATAGACTTGTTTGTCTAAAAAAATTATACATAAGAAAACAAAAAATGTTGAACTGTGTTTCAAAACAGTTTGATATGATTCACTAAATCAAATGGTAAGACAATAAGAGCAATTGTATGTAAGATTTAGATGATATCTTGGACGGTGGTTTAAATGAATTTTAAAAGAGTGAATGGTGAAGGGCAAGAAATTAATGATAAAGAAATTAATTTACTTAAAGCTAAAACTAAAACGTGCTTTGACAAATAAAAAAGAAGTTATTAAAATAATATCGCTAGCATTTCTTCATAGATATTGCAAAACGATTCTTACCATGTCACAGACTTGTTAGGCAAAAAATAAAAAACAATAATATTGGAAAAAACTTTGACGAGAATATTATCATGTTTTAAAATTATTTTTTTTATGTATGCTGACTTTCTTTATGCGCTTCGACTCTTTCTTTCCATAAAACGTTATTCGCAATATATGGTTTATTTTAAAACAACAAATTCATTTTTAAGTCATACAATTCTTGTCTACTTGTCCACTTGAACCTGTCCTACACATATACAATTCAATCCTCTTGAGCAATTCCTCAGCGTTTACATTAGAAAATTATTCTAATATAAATAGTTACGTTCCGAGTAATTAGATTCATATAATAATGGCAAATACAATCTTTACTCAAACGATTACTTGCTTAGCCGTAGGGACATTCGGTAGATGTCCACCTTCAAATGTTGATCATCAACCGATTCATCACCTTCGATTCAACTCCAGAATCAAACACAAACGCTTTTCAGTTCAAGAAAAGAACCTAGCTTTGGGATTTCAAAATGATGCCAGAAGAAAAATGTACGAAAAATCTTTGTTTTTTAATACAACTTTTTTCTTTGCTGGTTTTTTCTGCAGTTTGTTCTTAAGATCGAACCCTTCGTGCAGGAATATGGTTGTCTGTTCTAGCATAACACCAGGAAATCCTGTTGATCCTTCTCCTGGTAATTGGTATTTCCTCACCAATCTCTCATCATATGCAACATTATTCACTTTTCTTCTTCCCTTTAGTTCAATTTGAGTTGGCAATACAAAAACGTTTAAAAAAATCTTCTCTGGTAGGAAATTTTGGATCCTTGGCACAATATTCGCAATACTTGCATCCTTTTCGAGGGGCAAATGGGGACCTTTGTTACGATTGAAAGGTAAGTTGAACATTAGCAAAACTAAATATTTTAATTATTGGCATAAGTTAGATCTGAAATTAATTTTCATTTGCGTGTGATGAGGTTTTTGCTTTGTGCGTAGACAAAGCTGAAACAACAATAGATGAAGCACAACGAGTAGTAGACATTATAGAAGACGTGGCTGAAGGGGTGGAGAAGGTGGCAGAAGAGGTTGTAAAGCATCTTCCCGAGGGAAAATTCCGTGACGCTGTAGAATTTGTTGAAAAAGTAGCAGAAGATGTAGATAAGCAAGCCCAACATGCAGAAGATGCATTAGAAAAGGTTTTACTCTCTATTTGGAAATAATACAAACAAAGGTTTAAGAATAATATTTTCAAAATCTATAATTATTAGTTTAGCAAAATAATTATAATGATTAATAAAAAGTAATAAATATTTGAATTTGAACATAGGTAGATCTTAGTTAAATTTTGTGATTTGACCAAGTCTCATAATCACACTGTTAGAATAACCTTCCTTAGACATTACTTGTTTAATCATCAACACGCAATGGCAGAGTTAATCTTCCTTAGACATAACTTGCTAATCGCTATTGTTACTTATTGCAGAATCATTTATCAGTTTAAGTAATCTTTTAGATTCCAATCAAGTTTATACTTAATCTAATAATGGTTGGTCTTGGAATTGAGCAAGACATGCTTAGCAATTTGGATTAACGTATGTGTAGGTTGAGAACATGGAAAAGGAACTGGAGTCTTTCGTTATTGAATCAACCACTCATCAGGAAAGTACCGGCACCACGAATTCAGAAGCAAAAGAATAGAAGTAGATAGAAACAAGGTTGCTGACCGTGGCGACAGTTCATATATTGAAAAATCAACACGACGTTTTTTATTTTTTTTTTATTACAGCAACATCTTGCTTGTACAAATTTTTCCTCCTTAATTAAGTAGTTTCTTCTCTGACGCATAACAGAATACATTCTGAACAACTCGTTTCCCTGTTGATGCATGCTTATTAATTAGTTATCATCATTATCAATAGGGAAAGTATACAGAAGACAATAATCAAATTATATAAACTGATGAATATAATAATATATACATGTATAAGGAGTGTTTGCAATTTGTAAATATTCAATTCATTTTATTGTTTGTTGGATATATTTTAACGAAATCTTATCAAATTAAAGTAATCTTTTAATTAATAATTATATATAAATAATTTAATATTCAACCGTGCCAGAAGGATTCACATGTATTATAACTTTGGATGTAAAATTTGACACAAACCTAGACAAAATATATATATATATATATATATATATATATATATATATATATATATATATATATATATATATTAATCCTAGCGACGACATGAGTAATATTACACTTAATCTTATCAAAATCATATTGAGAGAGGATCAATAAATAACCACTACTACTATGACTAAAGTTAACACTATTATGGTCATTATCAACATAATCATCATTGTCTAGATTTTGCTAGTTCTCAAAGCCTACTCCTGAAAAGGTCTTCTCTCATCCACAACCTCGAAGGAAGCAAAGTGAGACATGTTGGAAAATTAATAATAATTATGATCTGATTTTGATTCTAACTATCAAACATAAGTATTATCTCATACTCATAAACATGTTGTAAACTGAATGCGAAAGCGTACCTGAATTAGTCATAATGATGATATCCTTGTAGAACATTATTGATCTTATGGTCTTCCATCTCAAGAGCACATGTATTTCCCTCTGGATTTTCTCTCTTGACGAGGATAGAAAGAAAGGAACAGGACTAAGACTTACATTCTGTGTGTGTGCTCTAAGAAGGGGATCATGACCTTTTAAATAATCAGAATTAGGTTAATTATTTAAGTTTTAGTATTTCCAATTTGGTCACTCATCAAATTAGAAATTACTCTATGGTCTCTACACAATTTTATTTTCATGACATATGCCTTTAGCCAAAATTTTTAATTTAGTCAGATCACTTTATTATTTGGCTTAATAAATAATGACCCTAACACATTTAAATTATGTATCATATATATACATGACCCAAAATTTGCCAACAATCTCCCACTGGTAACAAATATATATGTCCTTATAACCTTACAAATGTGTTAGACTTTATGAGCTCAAAATTGTCATTATATTCCTTTAGCATACTCCAAAAGTCTCGTCCATTAATCATATCAGGATATAGAACCAAATCAGTTTTTCATTGCATCATCGCAACTAAAACCAATAATGATTACTAATCCTGACATAACCAAATGACATGAATTCATCATGAAATGTGTAACATGAAAAATTACGTGAAGGTGATCTGTACACGTCTATTTTCAACTGGTCCAAACTTTAACTTATCGAGATTAATATAATAACCTTAATGTATAAAGTGTAATGAATGAATGAAAAACCGCATATCTATAGATAACCAAATATGTCCAAAAAATCAATGTATACATATATGAAATTAATCATAGAACATAAAATATATAAAAATGATTAACTCCCACTAAACCACAAATTCCTCAAACTGTAAAACACCCATGTGAGCAACATGCTCATGAAAAACATTTGGCGGAAGTTCTTTAGTTAGAAGATCTGTTATCATGGAGGTTGTCCCTAATTGTTCTATGGAAATTTGTCCACTTTGTACTCTTTTCTTAACAATACAGCTGATTTATTGTTACAATATAACTTAAGTGGTCTTTCAATGTCTTTCACAATTTGCAACCCTGTGACAAAATTTCTCAGTCATATTCCATTATTTGATACCTCATAGCATGCTACAAATTCTTAACATCCTACAAAGTCTAAGTCAGAAAACCCAGCGATCTCCAACTGGTCTGACCTCTTGTATGTGAGCATATAATCTTTTGTTCTCTTTAAATATCTTATAACCCTTTTTGCTGCTTTCCAATGGTCAATTCCTAGATTGCTTAAATATCTGCCTAGAACCCCAACTATGTATGTTATGTCTGGACGCGTACATACTTGGGCATACATCAAACACCCTACAAATGATGCATAGGGAATCTTCTGCATTTTATTAATTTTTGCTAAGTTATTGGCTCATGATGCATAGGTTCTTGAGGATCTTGAGTTTGTTCTTGACGGACAATTAAATCATCTTAAGTATAGGGTTCATCATCAATGTCTTGTGGAGGTTCTGAACTTACTTTATCAAAAATAACTGTTTCAATCGGTTCTGGAATTGTTACTGATTCTTCCTCCAAGATAAAGTTCTTAATCTTATTCTTCTCCCCAAACTCAATATCCTCAAAGAACGTAACAATTTTCGTCTCAAAAATTGTCTTTAATGTGGGATCATAAAATTTATATCCCTTGGATCTTTCAGAATAAAAAAATGAAGTAATTACTTACTGTTCGGGAGTCCAATTTCTTTTTATTTGACTTATAAGGCCTTGCCTCAGCTAGACAATCTCTGGAAATGTTTCAGACTAGGCTTTTGCCCAGTCCAAAACTCATAAGGTGTTTTAGTAGCTGCTTTAGTTAGTACTCTGTTTAGAATATAAGTTGTTGTCTTTAGTGTCTCTCCCCATAATGACTCTGGTAAGGTGAAATGACAAATCATACTCCTTACCATTTCTTTAAGAGTGTAAAACAAGTTCAAGCGTCACGATTAGATTGTGATCTGAGCGCCTGTGCCATAATGCACCTGAGTGAGTATTGTCAATTTTACGTTTAGTACGACGAGATTCTGTATTAAGAGTTTCATTATAGGTAATATCAAGTAAATATAAATTATCATGAGCCAAAAGTGAACCAGTTCTAACAATATCTGAATTAAAAGACAAACTGAAATTATTGTTTCCAAATGAACACAAATAACCTAATTTGTCCAAATAAGAAACTGAAACCAAAAATACATCTAAAAGATGGCACAACAAAAGTGTCTTTTAAATATAAAATAAAAAACCAGTACACAATAATAATCTAAAATATTCAATAGTCTCCATCTCCACCGATTTGTCATCTCCAACGTATATCCATCTTTCAGAATTCATTGGCTTCTAGTAGTTTAGGCAACCCTTTCTTTTCACGCCAAGCATGATATTTAGCACATTTCTTCTTTACATGTCCAATCTTATTGCAAAAGAAATATTTGTTTTCTTGAGTTTGTTTCTTTTGTTCTGGATCGTTAGCAGTTTCCTTCTCGGATCCTCCAATCTCTTTCTTTTGCCCTTAGCCTTGGAGGTGCTTGCAAAATGAACATTTTATGTTTTGTCTTGTTTTAGTCTTTCCTCTTCTTGCACGCAGTGTGAAATTAGCTCATTAAGAGACCATTTATCCTTCTAACAGTTGTAAGATACCTTAAACTGATTAAATGTTGTGGAAAGAGAAATTAACACCAAATGAATGAGTAAGTCTTCTGAGAGTTCAAGTTTTAGTGTCTTGAGTTTAAAAATAATATTAGACATGCTCATAATGTACTCCCTGATATTTTCTTTACCCTGATATTTCATGGAGATCAAGTTCTGAAGAAAAGTGTTTGTCTCTACCTTATTTCTTTTTGCAAAGCGCTGCTCAATTTCAGCAAAAAATTCTTTGACACTTGTGATATTTTCAGAAACAGTGCCCCTAAACACCTCCGGGATGTCGCACTTAATGATCATATTAAACTCATGCGATTTGAGCGATCACACTTCTCATAATCTCTCTTCTGTTCAGAGGTACTTGAATTCGTAGGAGTAGAGGGTTGCTCAGTCCTTAACGTAAGATCCATATCCATGCAGCCAAGAATAATATCAATGTTCTCTTTCCAGTCCTTAAAATTTGTTCCATTGAGGATCGGAACAAAATTTAAATTGGCAGATACAATTGTTGAATATAGAACAAGAGAAATAAACTAATTACGCTCACATTATAAAAATAAATAATTATAAATATTTAAATAATGGTTTAACCCATCTCAAGACACTCAATGCATCATCAATATTAAGTCTTTGGATAGTAACATTAATTGTTAGGGGTATCTTGTTGTAATGGTCAAACATTAATAATAAAGCACGTCCAATAACAAACCAGTCTTTGGATTGATTTATCATCGACAAAGCAAATTCTTATAATTATCACATGTTTATCATTACAAGTGTGTATGTAATTCGACCAAATATTAATCTTCTTTTGAGCCGACTAATACTCGCATGAATATACACAAACACTAACATTTAATATTTTTCATGAACCGCCCAATTCAAGAGAGGTTACTTTGGTGACTTCTTAACTCAATTTACTCACAAAAAATATTAAACTACCAAAAATTGAATATTTTATTTACATAACAAAACCAAATTTATATAATTATTTATTTTAAAAAAATTATAATGGCGTCGAGACCACCACTGCCATTCGTAAAACAAGTATTTTCCAAGTATACCTAAACCGAACCACATGAAATGAGGAACAAAAGTTTATTGTGATTTCTTTTGCTTCCTGCCGATATGAAAGCGGCTTTAACAAGCCAAAGTGAAGCAATTCCATCCAAACCTCTACAGAGACCACCCTAAAATTGAATATATTAATAAGGGTAACCCTAAACCAAATTGAGTCTTAACAGTCCTTGCCACCTCCGATAAAAACCCTAATCGTACACATGCTCCCAACTATGAAATCCCTCCACGGTGCCCTTTCTCGCTCGGGATCCTGGCCTCGTCGGAGCCTCCAAGTGCCTATTCTTGACTTCCATTGGCGTCGGTTAACGAGAATTTTATTAAGCACATTAACTCTGGGAAAGGGACCCCTTTTATGCCTAATAGGACTTTTGAGACTTTCATCTTCTCTTTGTTCAATGAGAATCTGAAGCCCACAGTTTCCGAACGTAACTATGGCTTGTTTAATCTCGATCTTACCCTTTAACCTAAAATGCCAATGGTCCCATTCAAATTTCCTTCTATGATTCATTTATGGGAGCAATGCATCAAATTGTACTACAATGCCTTGCAATCGTGTAATGTTGTTATGTCCCACGAGATTAACAATGTTAGAGTCACCTTCTTCTCCACACGCGTCACGCATAGTGGCTTGTTGGTACCTTTGATGGTGAAGGAATCCAAGTACTTTCTACTTGACCTCTCTTTCGGCATGATTAAATCATCTCTCTGAATTCTGCTTGTTTCCTTCCTCCATGACCAACTTTTGGGATGCGACGCCATCTTCTTGGTTGAACGTGTGGCTCCGAAAATAAATTGGGGATTTTAGCCCCAAATTGGAATTTAGGGTTTACGAAAATTGGATATTATTCTCCACTTAGGGTTCATAAAATTGGATAATTTGAATTATTCAAAACAAAATTAATCCTAATTTTTATAATTAGGGTTCTATAAATTAAACAGACATGAATCAAGTATGGGTGACTCTGATACCAATTGTTGGAAAACTAATAATAATTATGATCCTGATTTTGATTTTAACGATCAAACATAAATATTATCTCATACTTATAAATATGTTGTAAACTGAATGCGAAAGCGTACCTAAATTAGCCATAATGATGATATCCTTATAAAACACTATTGATCTTATGATCTTCCACCTGAAGAACACTTGTATTTCTCTCTGGATTTTCTCTCTTGATGGGGATAAAAAAAAACGGAACTGAGACTTACGTTACGTATATGCTCCTGAAGGGATCATGACCCATTTAAATAACTAGAATTATGTTAATTACTTAAGTTTTACTATTTTCAATTTGACCCCTCGTCAAATTAAAAATTACTTTATGGTTTCTACATAATTTTATTTTCATGACATATGTTTTTAGTCAAAATTTTTAATTTAGTCATATCACTTTATTATTTAATTTAATAAATAATGGTCCTAACACATTTAAATTATGTATCATATGTATATATATATATATATATATATATATATATAACCCAAAATTTGTCAATTTTTTTGGTAGACTTTTAGAATCAACCTCCTTTTAGGGTACAAAGATGAAGGTGTATAAGAAGTGTCATCTCCTTTTATGTCATGCCTATGTATATAAAACCAACAACAACTGTTTCTATAAAATAGAGAGAGATAATGTGAGAGATGATGGCGTGCTATAGTAAAACCATAGAAAAAATGAAGTAACTTTAATTATCAGATTTCCCTCGTGGAGCTATATAGTTTCTTTTTCTATTATAAAAGCTTAACAACCACGCACATCATTGGCTTATTCACAATTATAAGTGACAAACACTACTACAAATAAAGCTTTCAACGTCGGTACTGGAAGGCTTTCAACGTCGATTATTAAACCGACGTTGTATCAGGCGACGTTGAAAGTCGTAACTTTCAACGTCGGTTCCAAAAAACCGACGTTAAAAAATACACTTTAGATAGCGGTTATAAGAGAACCGCTATCTAATGTCGACTTTCAACGTCAGTTCTTCAAAACCGACGTTGAAAGTATGATTTTTTAAATTAATAATTTTTATTTATTTACAACCCCTTTACCCCCCCTTTTATTTATCTAGAAGTCTCCCCTCTCTTCCTATTATATTTTTATTAGGTTCTCCATCTCTTTATATTATATTTTTTAGAAGTTTTTTAATTTTTAAGAGAATTGTCATTGGCGGAATTCGAACCCAAGTACTTTAGAGTTGGAGGTCGATACTCCAACCACTAAACTACTTGAATTTTTTGATAATAACTTACAAATAAATTATATTTATATACAAATAAATATATATCCGTGTAAATATATACAAATAAACCCAAGTACTTTCATCTTCTTCGCACCGATAATCCTCCAAAATTTTGTGTTCTTCATGCTCGACAGACTCCTCCCAAATTCACCTTCCTGCTCACAATTTCACTCCCTCTTTGTGACCTTGTACCAGTGACTATCCACCATTGTTCGAGCTTAATCACCTTCGTCTCTCCAACCCCAATCCTCCACCCTTCTATTCAGACTTCCAAGATCTTTAACCCAAGCATGCATGACCTGACCTCAAGCTTGAAATCCAACCCAGTGACCTTGAATCTCAAATCTGAGTGACCAAAACACCAAATCAAAACACTTTACAAAAATGTATATCAATTAAAACAGATTTGTTTTAACTGATACGTACGACAACGTTTATATCAATTAAAACACTTTACAAAAAATATTCTAAGTTGATTTAATCGATTGTTTCGCGATTCAATCGATTGAAATACTGCAAAACTTTCTCGTAAAACTTTTCAAGTAATTTTAACTGATAAAAATAAGTTTTAATTGATTAAAACGCTGTGCAGAAATTGTTTTAATCGATTGAAATGAGATTTAATCGATTAAAATAGTTCTGATCGGTCATAACCGCTATCTAAAATGTATCTCGCTTGAGCGACACCATTCTCGCTCGAGCGAAACGCCCCCTGCACAAAATTAACATTTTCGGGTTGTATTTCGCTTGGGCAACACTACCCTCGCTCGAGCGAAATAAGATTCTGATCGATCATAACTTGAAATGATCGATCATAATTGAGAGGATATAATAGCGGTTCCCTTATAACCGCTATCTAAAGTCGACATTAGATAGCGGTTCCCTTAGAACCGCTATCTAAAGTCGACATTCGATAGCGGTTCCCTTAGAACCGCTATCTAAAGTCGACATTAGATAGCGGTTCCCTTAGAACCGCTATCTAAAGTCGACATTGGATAGCGGTTCCCTTATAACCGCTATCTAAAGTGTATCTCGCTTGAGCGACACCCTTCTCGCTCGAGCGAAACGCCCCCTGCACAAAATTAGCATTCTCGGGTTGCATTTCGCTTGAGCGACACTACCCTCGCTCGAGCGAAATAAGATTCTGATCGATCAAAGCTTGAAATGATCGATCATAATTGAGAGGATATAATAGCGGTTCCCTTATAACCGCTATCTAAAGTCGACATTAGATAGCGGTTCCCTTATAACCGCTATCAATAATTAAAAATAAAATTAAAAAAAAGACTTTCAACGTCGGTTCATCTAGAACCGACGTGGAAAGTGTTTTCTACGTCTGTTAACTAAGAACCGACGTAGAATGTGTCCAACATTCAGCTTTCAACGTCGTTTTTTAACCAACCGACGTTGAAAGTGTATTTAACGTCGGCTCAGCTTGAACCGACGTTAAATGGCGACGTTGAAATCATATTTTGTAGTAGTGAAATTTGTATAAAGTGGTACCATTCTGACCACACTTGATTACCCAACACAATACTCTTACAAAACTTCCACCATCCTCGTTGAGAAACTGCAGTGATTTTTGCGATTGAATATATTGAATTTCATTACATAATGGCAAACACAAACTTCCAGCATCCTGATATTGACTAATACTATGTATGCGAGATTTTTCAATTTTGATGAACCGAACAAAAAACTTAGTTACTTAACGTAAAAGTTAATTAAAACCATATCGATAGTGATGTTTAGAATATACAATAATTTCTCCGCCACTATGTTGTACTAAATTTGCAATTAACAGAGTTTAAGGAAAACAATTATTAGCTATTTCTTCAAAAGTGAAAAGTCAAATAGTGATAGGTTTCTATAATATCTTAAACTTTGAGCACATTCCCAAAGACTTAAAAAGGGTTTAGACTATTACAATATCTATTTAGAAGAATGTATAATATAGACTTGGTTTCAGCCTTCTCTCATATAAACTAGGAGCTTAATGTTTTACAAGGAGTTTTTATTTTTTATTTTTTTTATATTCAAGATCTTGTAAGATACATTTATGTACAGGAAGATTTCTCTTCTTGTGTTTATAGGTTCCTTATACTTTCATCTATAATTTAGCTTGAAACTTCAATAAAAGAAAATTATTATTTATTTAATGAATTCTATCAATTTATCACTATAAAACAAAATAATTTGTTTATTTTAAGTATAAGGAGGTTATGTTTCAAACCGATATTCACGATTTTAGTCATAAACGTAATGATTGCTTATATATTTCTAATATACTATATTATGCCTTTTAATAGTATTTTGATTAAGAAATCACTTTGCCTTTTATTCATGTTGCTCTTTCAACCTATTAAAACAGTGTATAAACACCCAAATAATACCATATTAATTTAATAATAAATATTTACTATTCTATCAAAGTTCTTTTATGGTATCAAATTCTTAAAACCAACGTCTTGACTTACACCATTCACACATGTACCAAACATTAGAAGACACTTCATCTAAGTAAGGACCATTTGATAGTGTCATGAATCGGTCAATATATACATTAAGTTTCTAATTAAATATGATTAAATTAATTATAATTTTAAATAATTTGTCTTAAGAAACCATAAATTTAACATATAAAAATCAACCTAAGCAATTTAAATGGCGTTAAAAAAGTATTGGTAGTTTTTTTTAACTATTAAAATTCAATATAAAGATAAAAAAAGAAAAGAGTAAAAGAGATAGATAATTAAAATAATCAAACATCAAAGGTATTAATAAAAAAAATATGATATAGCTTTTCTCACTTATTAAAATATTTATTTTTATTTCATAATTAAAATTTTAATTTTAATTAATGATTAGCTCAATTTTTCATTTAATAATAATTTTATTTTTATCAAACGTAAAATTTTTAGATTTTGATGAGGAATTTTTTTATCAATAAAATATAATTGAACATCAGATAAAAGTCCACATATAAATAATGATATAAAACTTAAATAAGTAAATAAATCATCAAATATTATATAAATCTTTAAAATAATTAATAAATAAAATAAGATTACTTTTAATGTAAATAACTGAATAATTCTCCTTTTAATAAAGTTGCAATTATTAATAATTTATAGTGGGATATAAATATCTAAATGGTTAATAATTAATTTACAAAATATCTTATTTATATAAATTGAGCATGCTAAATAAAATTAAGTACAACTCTTTATTTTCATTTTTATATTTAATTTTCTTTAATTTCTTTTGATCTATCATTCTTATTTGTTTATAAACTAAAGTTTATATTTTTTTAATTATCAAAGAATTAAGATTAATTTCGTATGACAATATTTATCATAAATCTAAAATGTAACTTTGTATATATTAAAAGTATTTATTTATTGTAAATTTAATTAAAATATATTTACATATTTAAATTATTTATTTTATATATTTGAACATATTAAAATGCCAAACATTGGAGTGAGTACAGTGTAAAATAAAATCCATTGACCATCGTTACATTACATCTTATCTCACTTGACAACGGCTACGAAAATTCAATTCGAATCTCCCAACGGCTATCAAAATTTCAATCAAACCCTTTCGAATTCGCAATCCACCATTCTCAAATATTATGGTTTTGCTGCCATCGCTTTCTTCTTTATTCGCAACCCTACCTTTGACTTTGAGCAACAACAATGGATCTTCCTCCAGAAATCGACCGTTACATCAAGGAATCCATCGACCACATTCTGGGCCTTCCCGTGTCTGACCAAACCCTCGTCACCAAGCTTCAAGCCTCCGAAGAGTCGCAGCGCCGACTCCACGACCACCGCCTCTTCCTCCTCGCCAAACTCAAGCAGAAAGACGATCTCATCGAACTCGCTAGAGTTTGTAATCTTTTTTGTTTTGCTTTAACGACGATTTGTTATTAATTTAATTAATTAATTAATTTTTATTAATTTATGGAGTTTTGTTTTTGAGCAGAATGAGGCTACCATGAACGCACAAGCGATGAAGAAGTTCGTTGAGGAGAATCAGAAGTTGGCGGCGGAGTGTGAAAGACTGGTGGAGCAGTGCGCGAAATTGGAACGGGAATGCGCGCTCTACGACCACGACAGAGAAGCGTTGATGGAGTTTGGGAACGAGGCTGATGAACGCGCGCAGGTTGCTCAGGCGCGTGCTCGCGAATTGGAACGAGATTTGTACCTGTTGGAGCATCATTTGATCAAATATAAACAGCAAAAGGAATCGGTATAGTTTTTTTTTGTTTTTTTTTGTCCTTATTGTTTGATTCCTAATCTCTGAATATATATAATTTACAAAACAACTGAGACATTTCCAACTTGGTAGTTTGGAAGGGTTTCCGTGTAAACTGTAATGTTTTTTGTTTGGTTTGAACGATGCAAAGTCACCCGAGTGTAAAAGAAAAGAAAGAATCAAATGTTTGGTATATATGATTTACAAAATAAGTGAGGGTTTTCCAACTTGGTATTGTTGTGTAAACTGTAATGTTTTCACTAAGGCTTTGTTTGATTTGGATGTTGGAAATGGAATGGTAAAGAAAAAAAAAAATGATAACTAACAGAAAATGAAATTGATTAGGAAGAAGATAAAATGAAAGTATTGATAATATTACTTTCTGCCCAAATATTTTCACATTCGTGGGAAGAAGATAAAATGTATATTACATTTTTGAAATTTCCTTTAATCCAAATGAAATAGGAGGCACCACTTTCTTAGCTAATCTGTGCCCCACTTTCTGCGCAAAGAGAGTGTAAGCGTTAATGCATTCAGTGCAGAAAAGCCTGTCAGTGTGTGGAGAAATTATTAGATGTTTTGAAACCACATGGTTCCTAATTAATTGAGGTGGTTATTGTAGAGTGTGTGTAAACCCAACCTTCTGGTATCGTGCTCAATTCCTACAAAAATTAAAAAAATTCATCACATTTCGTGTTATCAATTGATATTAATTTATTCTTGTAAATTGATAACTTAAATGTATGTCATTTAAAGATTGACTGAGATCATAGATAATACTGGTGTCTTGAACTAGCTAATATTTTTTGTATGTTGGGGGTAATTAGTTGAAATTTCAGTTTCTGACGTATATGTATCAATTTTTAGTTGAAATCATCCCAGGTTTCGTCCGTAGATTTTGTTAGGTTTCTTATGCAAAAGCCAATGTGAACTGTTAGGGAGCTTTGAATGATTTCTGATGGGAAGGGAATTGAAGCTTGAATATGTGAAATCTGTTAGGAAAAAAATTGGAACTTATTTCACTCATTGTTTTGCAATTGTCAATTTATTTACCGTCTTAGTGTACATGTGCTGAACCAGATTGTAGTTTGACTTTGGTGCTGTAATACTCTCTTGCTATAGAGCTAAAGAAAAGAGGCCTGGAATGCAATGTATTGTGTTGTGTCCACTACTCCGTTATCTGATTTTGTATTTCTGTTTATTTCATGGAAATTGAAAAAATTTTGCATTGCTGTACGTAGCCACAATATACCATATTGGAATAATGAGGAACATTCGCTTCGTATATCTACAATGTGCTGATTGCTAAATTGAAAACCATATTATTGAACTTGGATGAGTTACTGTACACAGGCACGCTCACTTCATGTTTTTAGTTTCTTTCCTTTCTCTATTTTCTTAACTGTGAAATGGTAATAGGCTTTCAGTCACAAATTCTAGTCCTTTGGTCATGAATCATGACTGAGGTTTACTTTTTATTGAAGGTTGATTCTTCTTCCGAAACACTTGATGAGGAGAAATTGCTTGACTCCCTTTTGGTAACAGTTACTACTGCAGATGAGTCTTCTACATTTGCATTCTTGAACGCAAATAGTGAAAATGAGCACTGTCATAAGTTGCTGACGACGTGGAACTGGTGAGTCTTCTTTATTGTGAATTCATATCCCCGTCAATTAACGCATCTGTGGCTTAAACCATTAGGATCAGTATGTTGTATTATTATTATTATTATTATCAATTCATATTTAGAAGTCTGATTCTTCATTATGGATTTGGTAGTTTGAAGCCATCAACACAAAGAGTTTTGCGTCTTATTGCTGAAGTCAAATCTCTAGAAAATGATAAAGAAAATCTAAGGGTTAATCTTCACAGAGCTGAAGAAGAGGTTAGGAATTCTTTTGGTGGACCTTTCTAGTTTTTGGATTATTAATGAATAATAATAATAATAATAATAATAATAATAATAATAATAATAATAATAATAACTAACTTGTCTTGGTCCAAAATAATAGGTCAAATTATTGTTTGAGGAAAATAGCGTGTTGGATAAGGAGAATAAAAGATTGAAGAAGCGATGCATGGAAAGGAGCCATAGCGGTTCTGTTGGAAAACATAGTCATGGCCATAGCCATAGTGGCAGTGCATCTGCGAAGGTGATACAATACGCATCCCTCTCGAATTATACATTGAGCATCTTCAATAAGAATTACTTGATATACTTAAATAAAGGATTAGTTTTTTTAATTAACTTTTCATTGGAGAAATCTATATGACATGTGCTTAAAATTTTTTATACTTATTTTATTATATAACTTATAAAAATAAACAAATCAAATAAACAAGGAGAAAGAATACGAGAGAATATTTTAAAATTTATTAAGAAAATTTCTAATAATAAAATTAACAAGTTATTTAAAAATAGATATGATATTATAAACTCCTGTCTTACATTTTTTAATATAAAAAACAACTGAAAGAGATAAGAAACAACTCGTCATATAAATTGAAAACAGTCTTCTTTTGCTTATGATTGGCATGGCCCTGTTTATTACAGTTCTCTCATAAAAAATATAATTTTCTTCGACAAAATAATACTTCTAAAAAATTTTCATGCAGAAGATTCAACTTTTCAAATTTACCATAAGCGAATTAGAATGAAAAAAATTATTTAAATCAAAATTTATTTTGTATTATTTTTATCAAACTTGATTATGATTTCTGTACTTTCAAATTAAGGAATTCAAATTCTTGAAGAATATATATGAATTTAATATTTACCAACTTTATAATAAAAAAAACATATGTTTCTAAAACTATAATGTTATCTTTTCTTTATACGAGAATCACATTTCTTTCTTTCTTTTTTTAATATTAGAAGTACTTGAAAAAATGGAAACTTCGTTGTTTATTCCATTATTTTGGTTTTTGCAGTCAAACAAGAGAAAGTCTAATCGCAAGACAGAGAGCCCAATGGCGAGGAAGATTGATTTTGAAGATGTAATAGACTCAGCAAGAACACCGTTTTCACCTTTGGAAAATAAACTCTCACAACTGCAGCATGAATAAAAAATTAAAGGGACTAATATCTCATTAACAGGCCTGACAGTTTCTTTGATTCAAAGTTATGATAGGGCTTTCGATTAGTCCATGCCATTATTCTTAATGGTGAATGGAGCAGTTTTTCTGGTTGAACTCATGACAACATGTAATTTTCTGAATACTTGTCTAACTGGAGGCAACTCTTTGCTATTCAAATTTATTGGCATTTTATGAGAAATTTTGGGAAAAAGTATAATGAATAGAAGTGTATAACTAAGTGTGTTTGACTTGAACAGTGAATATTTCTGTACCATATTACATTACAACGAAATATTTGGTTCAGTCATGCAACGTAATCGCTTCGTGAATTAGAAGCCATATGCAATGAACACTGAAGAGGAAGTTTGCGACATCATCTTCTAACAAACTTTTCTAATGCTCTTTTTACTATTGAATCGAATCTATTTGGAACCACCAATTTTATTGCTTATCAAAAAATAATATTATTGTGAGATAAAATGTTAAAACAAGTATTACTAGCTTTTTTGTCTTTATTACGTGGGTAGAAGATTGTGGAAGATTTGCATTAGTTATATCGAAAAATAAGAACTTCAGAAGAAAATTGTAATTCAAAAACATAAACGCCGTCTGTGGGGATCGAACCCACGACCACGTGGTTAAAAGCCACGCGCTCTACCACTGAGCTAAGACGGCATGTGACAATTATGTTAAAATTGTTCTATAATTCCCATATATATTTAACCTTTTCACATAACATCATCCTCCAACTACTTATAAAAATGTCATCTTTGCTGTTGAAGTTAAGGGCATTTTATTTTTGAACTGACCAATAATACAACAATAACCACTTCTCTATGGTTGATTTTTTTTTTTCTTAAGATTCATGTTAATGTGTATGCAAGTGGATCTTGGGTTAATTTTTGAAATTTCTTTACATTTTTAGATTGTTATTTTATCTCCATTCTATTTTTAGTCTATAATTCAACTAATGTACATGTTGAAAATATTTTCCAACCTACAATAGATATAATAATAACATATGTATTAAAGACAACTAAATACAGTATATAAGATCACTTGTTTGCAATCCTCCACGAAATAGAAGATTTTCGCCTTATAAAAAAACTAGTCACCATCTTTGACATTAATACTTTTTTTATTCATTTTTATTTTATATATTTTTCTGTAATTTATGTTTCATTAATTAAATAATTAAAACTTTGCAAACAAATTAGAAATAGTAAAAAAAAATATCATGTTGAGAAATCGAATCCCAAACCTCACTCAAAAATCAGGTTTTTGAAAGATACAACGCAGGACATAAAAACTTCGTTTTCTATATTACTTTGTTGAGTGGGTTAGTATAGGTGGAATGGATAAAATGATATAACTAGAATATAAAATAGGTCAGATTTGACGAGTTGGTATATGAATTCAGTATAAATATAACATAATATATTAGTGTTTTGAGTTCGTAAGTGCATTATAATCTATTCGGTATAAGTTGATGGTCCGTCTACTTAATAAAAATTTATTTTTTATTATAATATAATTAATTATAAAAATAATATATAAAACAAAAAATTGTAAAAAAATAATTAAAAAATATTTTACTCTTATAAAAAATATTATTTTTACTCAAACATCTTAATAACTTCAATTAAAAATGTAAAAATTATTTGTGAAATCTTATTAAATAAAAAAGTGTAAATACTTAAATTTTTTAATATAAAAAATATAAATTATATAAACTTTAACATTATTTATATATTTATTATTATATAAATTTTATTATTAAAATAATAAATTAATTTATATTATTAACTTGAAATATATATATATATATATATATATATATATATATATTAAATTACTGACAAATAAATAATAATCTTATTATTAAATTTATTAAAAATCTTAATTTAAAAAATTAAATTAATTGTTTATAAATTATGGTGGAATAGATGAAGATCTTTCGTTTATCATTATTATAGCTGGTTTGTCTATTTATTTTATTTTTTACGGTAAAAAAAAAAGATAAATCAAAACGGGAAAAACTTACCTGTTTTACTAAAATTTAGATTCTATTTTAAATTTACAGACTAATTTATCTTACTATATTTTGAAAAAAAAAACTATTTTATATTAACAATAGATTGTGAATAAAATACATAAATCTATATTACATTGTGTTAACATTAAGATAAATAATTATATATTGTGTATACTCTCTCTCGCGTGTATAAATATATATATATATATATATATATATATATTTATTTATTTATTATAGGTTGTCACCCGACGTTCAATTCTACAAAATACAACTCTTTCAAACGTGGAGTCTAAGAGAAAAGTGAAATGTGTTGAGCTCAACAAACATAGGTATACACTCTACTGAATTATGACACATGGCAAATGAGATATCAGTTTCTTATTCTTTATTGGAATAAAAATATTCCTTTTGGAGTTGAGAAGTAGCTGGTAATTATGTTCTAGAAGTTTGATGATCACTGTTTGCTTCACAATGAGTAGACATTAAGCAAAATAAATCATTTTCAAGCCATGCTCTTGCTCATGCTGTCAATGATTCCAGAGATCGATGTTGACAACAAATCTTTAAGGGACTAAAGCAACCTCCATTAAACAATAAGATGAGTGGACCATCAATAGAAGTCTATATAAATATCAATGAATAAATGATATTCATATTTCAAGTACTTAATTTTTTCTTTTCGAGTTTAACTTGTTTTTTATCTCATCAAGTTATAATTTATCTTAACATTCTATTATACAGTTGATTACTCTTCATTTTCAATCAATCCATCATTATCCGTTGTTACTCTTCATTCAACCACTCGCATATTTTATGAGATCAGTTGGAAAGAACAGCAGACCCACTTTTCTGGTCATTGGGTATGAAGTGCAACTCAAGTCATCCTCATGCAAACCTAGACCAACTTGGCTCAACTCCATCAACCCTATTCACAGCACACAAGCAATTATATAAAGCTTCAAAACCATTCCACACTAACATATCCTCTGAGAAGCCTCTGTAGTTTATTTCCCTTCTTTCCAAACACTCTCATTAAATGGCTTCTTCTGTAGCATTAGTTTTTGGTGTATGTCTAGCACTCAACATGGCCATGCCAACACTTGCAGCTACCCACACAGTGGGAGACACCTCAGGTTGGACAATTGGTGGGGATTACAGCACATGGGCTAGTGGATTGAAATTTAGAGTCGGAGATAGTCTTGGTAAGATACTAACTAGGTCCTTTTGTTTCATGCACAACACTAAATACAATGAAATAAATTCACAAATATACATAATGTATCATAGGTAAATATATGAAATCTAGAAATTTCAAACAGTGACAGTTTAGATTAAAGTGTTGAAATCATTGGAAGGATGCATCTAATGTATATATATATATATATACCTTATGTGTGACAGTTTTCAATTATGGACCTGGTCACACTGTGGATGAAGTGAAAGAAAGCGATTACAAGAGCTGCACTACAGGAAATTCTCTGAGCACAGACAGTAGCGGCGCCACCACCATTACCCTGAAGACTGCTGGCACTCATTACTTCATATGTGCTGCTCCTGGCCATTGCCAGGGTGGCATGAAGCTTGCTGTTAAGGTTAAGGCTAAAAAGACCTCTGCTTCTGCTGCAGCACCTTCACCTGCTAAGGACTCTGATGACACCAAAGACACACCCACTACTTCCACCACCACCTCTACAACTCCAACCTCTGCCAACCCTTCTACCTCCAGCTCCTCCACCTCCACCACCACAGCATCTTCTCATACATCTTCAGCAACACGTGGCACACCAATTATGTTTATTGTTTGTTGGATCTCATACTTGGTGTTGCGTTTGGTGTGAATTTGAGGAGAGTTTGTTTTTGAGTCAGGACAGAGGCAGTGCTTTCAATTTACTCACTTTGTGTTCTTCTTTGATCCAATTGACCCATTCAGATTTTGCTACGAGGCTATGACATTTGAGTGATATCTATCCTAATTTATGTTTCTTGTTTGTTAAATATATTGTTCAATGGATTGATATCTCCAGCTATACACCTGTTTCTGGTGGAATTCTGATCGATTTCGTTTCTTAAGAGATTTTGTTCTAACCAAAACTTAACCAAAACTCAACCACGCAAGTTCTTTTTACTTAGGCTAGCAAATGTTTTTTCAATCGAAATGTATATGAGAATCGAAAATATTACAGTATCGAGAAAATCCTACTAACGTGTTATGACTTATCGAAAGCACTATTTTTTGGTATTTTGTATTTATAGTACCCGAAGAGAAAAAGATAGTCAAATATCAAATCGAAGAAACAGTATCTAATATTAAATTGTGAAGAGACATAAAGTACGGAAACCTTAAACTTGCATTAAGTGTAGATGACAAGGAATTGAAATTGTGGAACTAACGGGAAATAGAAATTGCGGAAATGTAAATAGCAAGAAGTCGAAATACGCAGAAAAGTAAATAACTGGAAATCGAATTTGCATCGAAGTTAAAGGACGAAAAATTTAAATGCAGAAAATTTAACTTTCATTAAACTGAAATTGATCAGGAATCGAAAACATAGAAACTTAAAGTTGCTAAACATAAATTGCATCAAAGTAAATTACCAAGGAAAATAAAGAAAGCGGTAAAGGTACTCAATGAGCGTGGAAATCCAGATCGCCAGAAACTTCATGATGTTCGTCGTTCTCCGGTAGACTTCTTACTAGTATTTCTGTTCTCTGCCAATTTTCCCCCCTCTCCCCTCTCATCTTTCGCTCTATTTATAGAGTGTCTTTTCAAGTAGTTTCTTAAGAGCAGTTAACGAAAACTGCTACCACGTTCTCTGTGCACGTCTTTTTGCAGTTTTGCTCCTAGCTTTATGGTTTAGGAACTGAATCCACGTTCCCATGCATGAGGTAACTGCTCCCTTGACCTTCGGCCTTTGCCAACGCTTACTATGTTCGATGTATACGTCGACTGTTCTTTTTAGCTAGAATTTCGATATTCGCGTATGTTAGCCTTCCCTTCGATTTAGACTTCGAGACTTCGAGAGTTTTGGATTGCTTTTGATTCTCGGTATCCTTAACGTTACATGATTTTGATTTCTTGATTTTCTTCACCAATGGACGTTAAGCGTTATTCCCTTGATTCTCGATTTCAATACTCAATGTGTTTTTATCTTTGTGGTCACCAAGTGTCTTGTCTATTTTATCGATTTTTCAATCAATTGTATAGTTCTCGATTTTTGCTTCCCTTCATTTTTTCGATCCTTTTATTGATCTCTTACTAACAAAATGCCCCCTTGGAAGAATATAAATAATTTCCGTTTATATTCTTTCAACACGGTTCCTGCCTTCGCTTATTGGAGGCCCACAATAATCTAGGGTTTAGGGTTTCTGGGATTTTTAGGGTTTATGGGGTTTTAGGGTTTTTCTGCTTTATGTTACCATCACGTCAATCTACTGCCTCACCGTACACGCCACATTAATTACCCTCGCTTCCGTCGTTTCCAACACCCTAGGTAGTTTTCCCTTTTAAACTCTATTGGTTTTTTACCCTGGCTTTTTTACGCGAACTTTAGCCCTTTGCAACTTCATCTTCTACCTGCGCTTTTGCCTTCATCCTTGCACCTCCATCTTCCTGTTACGCGAACTTTAACCCTTTGCAACTTCGTCTTCTACCTGTGCTTTTGCCTTTGTCTTTGCACCTCCATCTTTTACCATGTTTTCATTTAAGCTACCAGTAACTGAAATGACAACCTCTTCCAAATCTTCTGACTTTTCAGCTCCACCCCTTCCCTCGCTGGCGTCTAACCTTCTGGAGATCAACAATCAGAAGTTTGTTCCAGTTCCTCTAATGGAGGAGGCTTCCCAGAAGGTCGCTGAGACGCAGGTACTCATCCCTTATATTGCTGATGATGTGCATTATGCTTTTGGGGGCCCTATGCGTTCTTGTGGCGGATCTTTTTCTTCCCTTAACCTTTCCCCAAATAGCCAAGCTCTCGTTCATCAATCTAAAGTTAGGGTTGATTTTTTGAATCTTGTTTCTAAAGTATATCGAACCGGCCCCCCTTCCAAAAAACCTTTGTACATTAGATGGTTCGATAGAGTTAAGACTAAGTTCGGGAATCATTGGAGAGACGTGGGGATTTTCGATTTCTTGCGCTTGTCTCGATGTGACTTATCTCATTTGGATATGACAATATTTTTATCTGCTGTTCATCTATGGAATAAAGAATTACATGCTTTGGAATTACCTTGCGGTCCTCTTTCGTCCACTCTGTTCGAAGTTGCTGCGATTACTGGTTTGAAGCCTTCGGGGGAAAGATATTTTAAGGGTGCATGTCCCTCGGATAGTTCTTTAAGATCCAAAATCGATTGGGAATCGCAAGCCTACGGACATTTCCTCGAGAAGCATTTTGTCGATGACGAATCGATCGTTGTAACTGATGAAGAACACATAGCTTTTTTGGTGTACTGGTTATGTACCCATGTTTTCTGCCTCCGATCTATCCAAGTTTCCTCCCACTTCTACAACCTTGCCTACCTCCTTCATATTGGTCAGCCTAGAATAAGTTTAGCCAAATTTTTGTTAGCCCATGTATATACTACTTTCGATGAAGCTGTCGAGATTTTGAGTGCCCCTAAAACTTCGGGAAATTTTTCTGGTCCTATTTGGTTTATACAATTGTGGCTGAATTCGATTTTTGAGAGCATCCTTCCCCCAACTTCCACCATCCCCCCGAGTGTAAATGTAGAAGGTGCTCGATTGTCTTCTCGCCATCCTCACCACAAACCCGACGAAGCGACTTACTGTAGATACCTTAAATTTTTGTTAACTAGGTTTCATTTCGATTCGACTTTGGCTCCTTTTACTGTGCATCTTGGACGAATTAGTGATCAACTTCGAGGGCCAACTTGGTTTAAGTCAAAATTCCCTGCCTTAACTCCTGGGTTACAATCAGAGTTGATCGATGTGTGGAGTAATTATTTAACTCAGGATGTATTGGTATCGGGTTTCCAATCTAAGGATTTTAGGTTTATCACTTACTACCCCCAACTTTTCTCGAGACAATTTGGCTTGAGCCAATCTTTACCTTTTTTTCCTCTCGATCCCTCCCCAAGGTCCAAGTTAAATGAATCGACAATCGGACGGGAGTTGACCAAACTACTACCACAAACCCCACTACTTTTTTATCCCTATGCTTTTGAATCAAATTATTTATCAACTGTGGGTTTCTCTCAATGGTGGGCCGATTGGTTCTCGAGTAATCATTCTGCTTTTGACGAAGTCCGACAAAAATTGACTGTTCATCCTTCTCTTGTATTGCAGGACAAATCAAAAGCGAAGAAAGGTACACACTTCCACTGTCTTCAAATATCTCGATTCGAGAATTTTTATCAAATATGTTACAACCCACTGAAATTAGAATCGACCTTTTACGATGTTGTTATCTCCTTATCCAATAAAACAGACACTAATCGATCGAACCACAAAATAATCAATCCTCTAGGTAGAACCCCTTTTGAAATGTATTGCCCAGATCGCCTTCCCACTTTTCCCACAGCTCCTTTTGGACTTGCCAAACCTTTAACTCATCCCAAATGGGTTCGAGAATTGAGATCCCTAAGGGAAACACTTCGCCCAAAACCCAAAAACAAAAATATTTCTGTAATGAAATTATCTTATTTCCCTTACCTCCATCTCCCTCAAATTCTCCTGCCTTCCTGGCTTGTACATATCGATCGAGTCACGATTTTGACTCCATCACCTTTTGGTGAGATTTTACTGCTTTTTTATGCTTTTTTAATTCTGTATATTGTAAGTTAACTGTCTTCTTTTTTCGACAGTCTCGAAGTCCACCAAGGTCGTCGCTGTCGAGAAGGAGAAGGAGAAGAACCAAGAGGACTGGGAGTCCTCAGATGAGTCAGACCCATCGGCCCTCGTCAGAAAACGCAAACGTTCGGCCACCATTTCTTCATCTTCGAAGAAATCGAAGGTTCTTTTCGATTTCTTATTGTGTTATTTATTTTTCTGTCTATGGTTGATCCACTTTGGATTCTTATACCTAGTTCTTTTCGATTTCTACTTTTCAGAAACAAAAATCGAAGAGTCCTCGATCCGTCCAACCAACTGTTGTTAATCCGTTATCGATGGATTCTAATACGGTCACACAAGCGGGCCAGATAACACCCACCACACATTCAAGTCACGTGAGTCCCCTTTTTTTTTTATACGACTTTGATATCCTTAAATTTCAATAAGACTTATGACTTGACATTTCGATATTTTTCCAGGATCATCCATCGGCGACTATATCGACAAAAGTCGATTCTCAGCTTTTACCACCAACACCCCTTCCCGAGGTACGACTCTTATATCATTTTGTATGTTTGTTTGACTTTTTATACATTTCCTTTTCTGATATTTGTTTTCGATTTACAGCAACCTGAGGCTGTACAGACTCTTCCTCCTGCCTCAGCATTCCTTGCTCTACCTCCCCCTGGTATTTAGACTTTTCCTTCACTATGTTAATGTTTCATTTCATTCTTTATTATGAACTCTCGATTTACCTTTTCGATTTCTTTCTTTTCAGTAAATATCCCGATAGTCCATGTCCATGACTCTCCTTCCTCATCTTCTGCAGAGCAACAGGATTCCCCTCCTTTTGCGATGCCTTCCTTCGAGTTACTCTCGGCGACATTACCCGAGATAGATGTGCCCACTCCAAGCAATGTGCCCGAGTATCGAGCTGCCATCGAGGAAGACCCTTTCTCGATCCTCGATATTTTGGTATCTGGTGACGCCATTCCTTCAAGCCACTCCTCTCAACCACCTACCATTTCAACTGAAGGAGCCTACCAACTA